GATACACAGCGCGAGGATAAGCCGTCACCTGGACATTTTTTTTTCCAAGCGGACGCGGGTCTCTTTCTCCTCTCGTGCGCCGCCGTCGTATAATAGTTCACGCAGCCTACGCTGGCCCGGTAATATTTTGATCACCGACAACGTGTATCTGTGGGTGCAGCGCCACACCGCGCAATAAAGTGCACCCGTGCTTTTTATTTATGTGACGCGTTCTTCTTTTCTTTACGTCCCATAAGGGCTGCTGCTGCTGCTGCTACCTGTATGATTGATGCGTTGTTAAATTAAAAACTTCTTTCTCATTGGAGTAATAAAATTATTTGAAATATGCCACGAGTATATATAAAATGCATTCACGCATACACGCGATATCAGTTGACGCGCGCGTTTTTATATTATAAAATTTATGATTTTCTTTTTACAATCTTCAATGCGGAAAATCATGCCTGACAGTTTAATGACACTTCGACGAGGTACTTTGCACGCGAACTGTGTAAAAGTCGGGCCGTAAATTGTCAAAGCGTTATGTCTTCCTCGCATTCATGTTTAAATCGAATAACAATGTCTTTATTCAAATTATCATTTCCGACCCTTCAATTTCAAGAAGATACATCGAAATGTAACGATGACAGATCGAAAAGCCATCGGTAAGTCAAAGACGAACGTACGTATAACTGAATTTCTTTTTTCCGAAGGAAATCGCTGCGAGAGAGCAGGAAATATCAGGCCAAACGTTGACAACCTCACGATATAAATTGCAATTACATTGCGAATGGCAGAAACATTTACGTCGAAAGATTCTCTCTCTTCTGTTGTGGGTATACGCACTGCAGGAAGTCAACGCGAGGGTTCTCGGGGATTTGCTCTTTGATCCTCACGCATACATGCGCACATTTATCGTCAAGTTCCCCATCTCGCGACGAGAACGAGGACGACGACGCAAAATTGATTACGCCCCAGAATGTTCTTTAGCGAAATTCGATTTTCCATTGCGCTTCATATGTACACCCCTGGGACAACGATGCGGATTTAGAGAAGCGCGCAGAATCGGCTCGACGACGAGGAGGGGAACAGTCATTTAGCGCAGCTCTCTGACATTATTTTTATCGAGTTGGGACCGAACTGAAGGTTCTTTGGCGTGTTCCTCAGAGCTCCGAGTATCGGCGGAAGTCGTCGATCGATCGTTCGTACTTCTCGCCCTTGAAAATGTGAGTCGGTCGTTCCGTTTCGCGCCAGTCGAACGCCAATTTCAAATCTGCGCCCTCCGAGAGACCTCCAACGCAGGAGAGACAAAGCCACCGACGGTAAGGTGATTTCGGCGGTGCCGCGGGCGCGCGAACGGTAATAAAGCGACGCAAATCGAACTTCGCGGAATACGGAGAGGGTGAAGGAGGATAAAGCAAGCGCGAAATCCACGCGAGCGCTTGCCTGCTCTCCAATTGCACGCCCTCGATTCACCCCTTAGATGCAGCCGAGCGCCAAGCCTGATCCTCTCGGGATAATCAACGAGGCGCGGTGGCGGCCCGATGTTAATGCGATCGCGGATCTATATAAGCAAACGTATATAATAGCCTGAAAAATCGTAGGCTGGCACGAAGCGTTTCATGCTGGTTTTCGAGACGATCAATGGCCCGCGTATTGTGCCACAACGATGCGAGGCAGATGCAGGATACTGAAGTTGACCTTCTGTGCAGCACTGATCCTTGGCTCTTCTTTCCTCTCTCTCTCTCTCTCTCTCTCCACGCATTTTCCCCGTGCGGGCTAGCATACACCCACATTTGTACTCGCTCTGGTGCACCTAATGACGCTATTCATTGCGATTTTTGGTGTGAAAACGCGCGCAGCGGCTTGTCCATCGGTTGCTATTCGAAAGTCGTTTTTGTTCTTAAAAGGATCAATCGCGTGCCCGGAAAAATACGAAATACGGTATTTTATACTGTCGTAAGCCTGCCAGCGCATGTAAGCGATGCTATATGAGAAAACTGTAGAGTCAAGTTGTGGGAAATAATGCTGCAGAGAAGCCAAGATGGGAATAGAAGGAAGTTGGACAGGCTTGTTTTATCTTCGATTATTTGCTTTCTATATCACGTAATATTCAGATATGTCTTGCACTGAGCAATTCGATGCCTTGGCAATCACAATTTTACGCTCTCACCGTTGGCGCTCGCACCGCGAAATCGTACGATGCCATTTGCAAGGTCGGCAAACGAAGAGTCGCGCGCTGAAAGACTCGCGCCGTGAAACGAGACAAGAAAGCGTCCGTTCACGGGCGAAATTACGTGTTTGAACTACGCCAACGGCTGCCGGGCTTTTTATGATATAAATATAATGCGACAAGACAAACGGGGTACATATGCGTTGATATTATATAGGCGGCAAGTGTTTGCCGAGCTTCTCAAAGTAAGCGAAGCCGCAAGTAGAACACGTGTGCGCCTCCCGTTCTTTTCTTGCTACATTCACCGCTGCTGCTGCCGCCTGTCATCACGAGCAAAGCCTAACGCTCAAAGGCACCGTGGGCATGCACACGCGCGTGCACGTCGATCGGAAAAAAAAACGAACCCTCTTTCACGCCGTGGCGAACTCATTCGCACGCAGCATCCAGATTTTACTCGCGCGCCCGATTCCTTTATTCTCGGCGTATAGGTATATCCAAAATATTGTGGTCGCGGCGGCGCTCCGACTATTGTGCGGGGCTGTTACAACGTAGCCGCCCCGCTATCTTGGCATCGCTCTTGTAAGAATCGGGCGCAGAAAAGATCGAACGATCGAACGATGTGAGATGTAGAGGAGCATTGTATAAAAAGGTGCGTGTATTTTTGGTATTATAGTGGTGTACATGTGGGATTTTTTTTTATGCATATAAGAATTGGAAGGTGTATATAGGATTACAGGAAGTTTACACTCGATGTATAGAAAACATATTCTAGAATATGAGTGATTGATGTGTGTGCAATGAAGCTTTAGCATATCGAACATATTATTATTCAGGGCACTAGTTAATTTCAAGAAACATATCCTAACGATCGAAATGAGTTCCCCTGAAATGATTTACTTAGAATTGCGTACGGCGCTAACATTGTTAGATAAATAGTATTACGTTAACGGTAACTTTCTAGGGCGTAAATTTGAGAGTTTTGAACTTTAAAGAATAATACATTGCTCAAGTAGTGCTTCTTCCTGAACACGTCGAGTAAAATTTTTTTTCAACACACTGTACGAAAGTACGACTTTACCACAAGCTCGGCGAACAACGTGCGCTCGGTTAGTGCTTTGCTCGCGTTGTTTCGAAAAATACCGTAGTGACGTGTTCGGGAAAGAGATTCTCGTTTCGTGTGTCTTTCCAGCCTCGCCTCGCTCGGGCGCCAACTCCATCCGAGACAACAGTCTACTTTCTCACACTAGCCGGATAATGCATTATATTTTTTTAAAATGACCCGTGGATAACACGAATTTCAAAGCACGTTTCTCGCCGGAAGTTCGGCAAAATCGTATTTTCGGCATAGCGTATTGAAATAATATCGGGTGAAGTTTTTCGCCCGAGTGAAGCGGGGCTGGAAAGGCACAAGGGACGAGAATCTTTTTCCCGATCATATTAATTACGGTACTTTTCAAAACAACGCGTGGAAAGCACACATTTAAAGGCACATTTTTCGACATGCGACAAAGTCGTACTTCCCGCACGGTGTGTTAAAAAAATCAGTCAGTTTTTTTTTCATTTATTGCAATCTACATAATATTTTTTTAAGAAAATAAACCTGATTCAAACTTAAAAAGCTAATATTTCCTAGAAAATTATTATTTATACTGAGAATTTATCTAGCAATATTCCCATATTCCAAAACAGGGTAGGTGTCTCCATCTCGATGAAAATTGGCGAGGATCTTCTCTATTTTATCAGTATTACTTATTACTGATGGCAGACACGCTGAGCACGCTCTTATCTTCTGTTTCATTGCTTGTCATGTATTGATTAACATATTTAACATGAATTCCTTTAAAGTTTTTAATTTATTTACAAAACACATATTACAACGAAAAAATTGTTTTGGTAAAACAGTTCCGCGTATTTGAAATTCGTGATTTATCATATTGAAAACTGCTAATGAATAATCTTTTAGTTCTTTTCAATTATACAGGTCAAATTACTATTAAACATTAATCCTATTAATTACAATCCTACATATTCAACAATTAAATTATCCTTTAGTAGTAGATAATAGCTAGAACAATTTCAAAACAAAACGCCTTGTTTTTGAAAAACAATTTACTCACTACTAATTTCATAAAATGAGTATTAAAACTATATAACATTGCAGTCATTTCTTTTTAAACTTTTATTAAAACGACCCGTAGCAATTATTATAAACTGAATTTTTATTACTAATTAAAATCTCAACTCGAAATCATACATTCAGTCAATCAGATCACGAATAAAATGCTTCAACATAGCGTCCGTCACTAAAAATGGATATCTTATCAATCGACGCCGATATCACTTAAAAATGTATGATAAACACTTAAAGAACATCTTAGTTCTTTTTCTAAGTATCACAAGCAATATAAATGATTTAAATATAGCAGATTTCAGATAATAATGTATGGTGATCCGGATCTGATTAAAAAATCTCTACCCATAGACCTTCAACAACCTATATGTACTTTTGAAAAGGGAAGTATCAACATATATTGCCCGGATAATAATTGACAACCCGCGAAGTTCAAAATTTAAATTAGTTTTGAGAATTGAGAATGGATGGCACCAAATGGTTTTTTTCTGGCAAGTCGCGCGGAGGTACAGCTTATGTTAAACTAAGTCCTCATCCTAACCTTACTTCATGTTATCGATGCTCAATCGTCAAGAGTCATTTGGATTTTGAACTTCGCGAGTCGTGAATTTTAATGTTTGGATGACCACCTGCACCTGCTGATTGTATATTATGTTTACCGCCATTATCACTTTGCACATTGCACATGCGCATCCAATTTCAACAGTCCCTTCAATTATCAAATTGAAACGCTCGATATAGACTGTTTTACTGTTTACGAGGGCACGTTATACAGGCACATCTGGTGACAGCATCACATGCAACGGACAACGAGGGAAGCTTTATAGGTGATTATTAAAATTACATTAGAAAAGTAGTAAACTACTATGAAAAAGTAACATAAAAGCCGTATTTTTATAACATTTTAATTGATTACAGATTATTACAATAATTAAAATGGCAAGCAGATATATTTTAAAATATGTTCAGCCGAAGAGTATTGTACCAATTCGTTTCGGTTCAACTCTCTCAGGCTTTGAATTACAACATAAAACTCCAACTATCAAAAAATCTATGCCAATTCCAAAAGCACAGTATGGAGGACGGCACACTGTCACCCTACTGCCAGGTGCTGGAATTGGTCCAGAACTAATGGGTTATGTAAAAGAGGTATGACTTTTCAATGAAAATATACAATAACTTATTACATGATTGAATATTCCTGGAATTCAATTTGACTTTGCATAGTTTATTGCAAATTGCAGTTTATTGTAAGCTGTACTAAACAATTAAAAACATGATAGGAGTGCCTAATCCATATTTATCATAAAAATAAATAAATAAGGAATAAAAAAAATAGATCTTACCTTTTCAACTAATAAAAACTAAATATTATAGTTTTAATAAATTAATGGAAAAACTTATATTTTTGTGGAGAACTATTTTTGAAATTCGCATTTTACAGATTTTCAAATATGCCGGTGTGCCTGTAGACTTTGAAGAAATAGATATTGATCCAAATTCTGAAAGTAGTGATGATTTGGAGTATGCTATTACATCTATTCGTAGGAATGGTGTTGCCTTGAAAGGTAACATTGAAACAAGAAGCAAAGAAATTGGAGTTATGTCTCGCAATGTAGCTCTACGTAATCATCTAGACCTATATGTCAATGCCTTGCATGCTGTATCTTATCCAGCTATACTTTCTCGTCAGAAACACATTGATATCGTTATTATCAGGCAAAATACTGAGGGAGAATATGCTATGTTGGAACATGAAAGTGTCAGTGGAGTAGTTGAAAGTATGAAAGTAATAACACAATCAAACTCTGAGAGAGTTGCACGTTATGCATTTGAATATGCAAGAAGAAATAATAGGAAGAAGGTAATTCTTTTTTTCTATAGAAATTAAAACTAATAAATTGAGTTGTTTCATGAATTTTTTTTTGATAAATTTCATAGATTACAACAATCCACAAAGCAAACATCATGAAATTATCAGATGGACTTTTCTTAGAAACTTCCAGAAGAGTTGCTAAGGAATATCCAGATATAACTCTTAATGACATGATTATTGACAATACATGCATGCAATTGGTTGCCAACCCCCATCAATTTGATATTATGTTAACAACAAACTTATATGGTGCCATAGTGTCCAATGTAGTTTGTGGCCTGCTTGGTGGTGCAGGCCTTTTGGCTGGTAAAAATTATGGTGATCATTACACAGTTTTTGAACCAGCAACAAGAAACACAGGTGCAAATATAGCAGGGAAAAATATTGCTAATCCTATAGCTATGCTCAATGGTGCAGTTGATATGTTACGACATCTGGGACACAAAAAACATGCCACGATTATTCAAAATGCCATTATGAAGACTATTAGTGATGGTATTCAAACCAAAGATTTAGGGGGAACTTCTACAAGTAGAGAAGTGATAGACAACATTTTAAGATGCATCAAAGCAGAAATGTATTAGGCAATTAAAGGACAGAAAAACTGTAGTTCAATAACAACATTTTAATTACATTGCAAAAAATACTTGTCTTCTACATATGCGAATATTATCTCAGCATACATTTTCAAATTTTGTTAGTGAAGCATACATTTTAAATATAACACAAGCTCACTGTTCAACAAATAAAATTAATTTTACAGATATTGAAACAAATCTTTTGCTGAGATTATATGAGGGCAAGTGGTTCTTTGTAATGTGCCTATAATACATACTAAATTAATATATATGAATCATTTTAAAGCTCAATTTGAGTTTTAAAAATGTCTAGTATGTAATATGTGAGATTTGAGTTCCAAGCCAAATTTTAAATCACGTATTAAAGTAATAAGAAAAAACTATGCAATAAAAACTATTATAAACTGTCATGATGTCATCATGACAATTTCATAAACACAGGCATAAATCTGAGCTATCAAATTATTCATCTACTTTTCAAAACCATTGAATCACACATTTAAATCAATTTCAAACACTGAATTTAATAGCTTTGTCAAATATGTAAATAATGTAAGTATTTCTGTTAATGTTGTGTAACTTATTCACAATCACGATGTTCTAACACAAATATTAGAATACTTTATTACTTACAGGACGTTGAACATCTTGAATGTTACACTAACATTGAAAATAAACTAGGTTAAACAAAAGTTATTTGCATATTTATTTTTCAGTTTTAATTTCGTAAAGACAGCATGTAACTCGTATGTATATAGGTACCTTTCCATTACTATTTTTATAATTTATTTTTAGCCACATTCTACATATACCAACATCCTCTATCTCTTGCGGTATTTGAAGTAATGAAATTTTGATTTTTTGTACTTTTCAATAAAATTTTCGAACGGGTCGTACTTTAATCTAACTATGTTTAATACTACTTTAATCTAAATAATTATATAATGAAAACATGACTATAAGATATTTTCATTCGAATAATTAATTTACTAATCATTGATTATCTCGCATGATCATGTAAGAATCTAACGCGTTTCTTTCTTATACTGTCAAAATATGAAAAATCAAACTGCATTGATACATATGAATAATTTAGATGTTAAAGAAATAAGAACAATGGTAATTACTTTTAATTTCCAAAATATTGTGATTTTTAAATACACGCGCGACTGTTCCACTTGCAACTACACAAATCAAAACAAAAATTTCAACTGTTCTTATGCGAGTTTGTGGATTGTGGAACTGTTTTTCATGGAAACGTATCATCTGACAAACCTAACCTATGTTTGTTGTGTCAAAACAAAGCATCTATAAAATATAATTGATTCGATTTTATTATTTATAGTATTGCTGAATTTCATCTCTTTCATTGAAATTCATATTTGTATTAACTTGTAAGTATAAGTAGCCCAAGCATTACTCAAATATTTACAGTTAAAAAGTGAAAGTTCAATGTTGATATAAAGCAACAGCTTTTTATTTAGAAAAAGATATTAAAATTTAACAATTATGTTTGAAAATTTTTGAACTTTATTTTATGTTCGCATCAATTTTTCAAATAAACCCGATATTGCTTTAAATGATATTCACTTTTCGAAAATAGTTACTAATTTAAGACACCTTTGCAAAAAGATAAAATAGGATTACTACTATTTTTAATTAGTTTTTTATTTTTATAATTGATTCAAATATTTTCACAGCTACATTTATTTTACAACTATGTGAGATTAAAACAATTGCAAACAAATCCAATAAAAACGTATTCAACATAAAAAAAATAATGATTATATAAAAAAGATTTCAATTGATAAAAATCCATATCATTGACTTATAATAATTGTAGGTTCAAAATGGCCTCGGCTGGAATATCACCATCTGAAGATGATGAATTGACCTTGCCACGAGCATCCATCAATAAGATGATCAAGGAGATTCTGCCACATATCAGAGTGGCCAATGAATCTCGTGAACTCATTCTGAACTGTTGCACTGAGTTCATCCACCTTGTGTCATCAGAGGCAAATGAAATCTGTAATCAACAACAGAAAAAAACTATCAATGCTGAGCATGTTCTTCAAGCTCTTGAAAAATTAGGTTTCAGTGACTACAGTACTGAAGCAGAAGCAGTTCTTCAAGATTGCAAAGCAGTAGCAGCTAAACGTAGACGGCAAAGCACAAGATTAGAAAATTTAGGTATACCTGAAGAAGAGCTACTAAGACAACAGCAAGAATTATTTGCAAAAGCAAGAGAAGAGCAAGCTGTTGCTGAACAATTACAGTGGCAACAATTACAAGCTGTATCACAAATGTCAGCAATGATGAATAATGAAGATGACCAAGAAGATTATTCATAGAATATTTCAGCAAATATTTTTTGATTAGTCTTATTTATCATTCATGACTGGTAAAGTCATTAATGATACCGTTTTGTAATTTAATTTAGTTTCTTCTATGAATTCGAAAAGTTTCTAATCTCATAATTTTTTAAGACAAAGGGGATTCAGATTGTTAATGTTACAATACTTATAATTGAACATTTAAATAAGAATTTTTACTATTTACTGAAGTTATACATTACTTATATAAAATTAAGAGTTAATAAATATTTTTTAGGCATGAGTTGTTGCATATAAATTAATTTAACTATAACAATTGAATATACTGGATCCAACAACATTGTAAAATAGACATTGTTTGTACAAAATGAAATTCGTGATTCATATGATATGAAATATGATACAAAAAACTTCTAATGTAATATGAAAAATAATCAATAAATTCAAATTTTAACACATTATTTACCTTCTGAGTTGTCATGTCCTGTTCAAGGAATGCATGGCCATTTCAAGGCATTAGTCTACCATACTCTGAAGATAGATGACTCTTTTTAATCGCTTCTACTACTTTTGATACATAATGGTACCTAGTGAACAAATATACTTAGATTTGATATAATAACACTTAAAGTAAAATAACAAAACTAAAAAATTACCAATTTTTTTCAGTTAAATTAGAAGGAGTCATAGTATTTCTAGTAACACCATGTATTTTTTTTTTCAATTTGTCAATTAATTGCTTTTCATCATCGTGGAATGTATATTCGTCTGAAAATATTTAGGATTATTGAATTTATGTTAACCTCTGCTATTATTTAAACAAAAAACTTGACTTACTGTCTTGAGTTATCAAAGGTATTAAGAATAAATTCAAATGATTTTCTGTAGTGTTTGAACTCATATCCAGGCCACTGTGAATTAACAAACGTGAAGAAGCAAAAGATTTATTGTAGAAGTCCTAAAATTAATCATATTAAACATTATATTTTTTTAAGTTTATGATTTTATAATCATTTTAGCTTACTTTCATCATTTCTAAATTATTAGGCATAAAATCCTGTACTTCTGCTTTGTTATGCAAAAATAAGATATGTGGATAATATTCTACATAATCTTGATCCATTGTTGTAGTAGATGAAGGTTTTAACATTTCTGCTGCTTGAAGAAATCTAAATTTTTATAAGCAAACCTTTTCAATTTATATTTTTCTCATTTTATTATAATTTTAATAGATTAAAAATGTCAATGCATTACTTAAATGGATTGTATAGTAACTTGGTTAATAAATAAATAAATAAATGTTAATTACCTTATCAAATTTGGATCCACAAACCAGTCTTGTACAAAAATTATTACATGACAAACTGAGTACAAGAATGCTAAAAATTGCAATGATTGCAATTCCAAATTTGTTTCATTTATAACAAAATCACTTGTGTTTTTCTTTTGATCATAACATAATGAATAATCAATTACAGATCCTGACAATATTGGTTGAGTATCTAAGTAAATGACTCGATTTCTTGTAATGTAAAAATCAATACCAGTTGTACAATTAATGCCACTTTCATGTTGTGATAAGCCTTGGACAGGGAAAAGATTAGATCTGAAAAAATAAAACATGTAGAAATGAATTTATCTACTATTTAAATGCTAAAAGTGTAATAACATTCTAAAATATATTTACACATAGTTTGATGTTAGAAGGGACATTATAGTTGACTTTCCTGCTCCCTGTGTTCCTATACAGCCAACTACTAAAAAGTCTTGTTGATCTAATAAATATTCTAATGGATTATCACACAGCTGCATATTTTCATCCATAAACTTGATACAACCAGTCATTTCAGGAGGAGGTAATAAAACTGTTCTTGCTGTGAAAAATAATGTTAATAATATTTAAATATCAATAAACAGTATCACTAATAGAATTATCTTATAGAAATATTTTAAACTTACGATCAATTGACTTCGTCAATATGCTTGAATGAGTATCTGACTCTTTCCTACAAATCAAATTTATTGAAATATTTTTATTGCTATCGCAGTCGAATTTTAATATATGCTAATATTAAAACTTTATAATACTTACTTATTTCCATTTCGTTGACTGGGAGAAACAGCTCTATTATCACCTTCTCTTGTTTTTAATATAAATGTTGGACGATCCATCACTTTAATGAGTGCTCTACCTTCTCCATCTTTCCCATCTGATTCCTTGACTATCGAAATCATCTTTTTGGAATTCATTATACGTTTATAATTTGTAAATGAATCGATAATCACATTTTAATCAACATGCTTAAACAGAAAATTGTTCAATGAAAAATACATTAGAATCATAATTTGATGTTAATGTGTTAATTTGATAACAAATCTATCAATTTCTAGTTAAAATAAAGAAACATTCACTTAAATTATGCTTTTTTATGTAGAAATAATTAATGGATAAAAAAGGTAGAAAATAACTTTTTAGCGAATGTACATAAACAGTAGATTATATAAACACAGTTTATTATTTTTGAATAATTATTTACCTACTTTCGTCTTCGAGCGTTTTTATATTTTCAATAAATATATTTGGTAAACAATAAATATGTTACATTTTCACGTTCAAAGGTTTTTTTAGGTTATATTTGTGTAACGTAGTATACTTGGCGTATGAACTGTGCTAATTAGAAATTTACATGTAAACAACTTTACATGTAAACGCTGTCATAAGATTGTAACACTCAGCAGCTAGTAGCGCCAGCTGGCTGCGTTTTGTTTTTTGCATATTTACGTTGAAATAATGTTTTTATTTATACACATTTCTACAATCATAATTTTTATGTGAAAAGCAATGAAGTAATATTTTGCTAAATTTCTTTAAATTATCAAGTTATTTAATTTTGAAATATGGAAAATTTACATATAAATGTCATGCAATTATAAAATTGCATGGATAGTATAAATAAATTAGTAGTTTATTTGGATTATAAATTTGGAGGTAACAATTTTTATTTATTGATAAATTGCCTTAATTGATCTCCTCTATGAATCACCTTCTTAATAATATAATTAAAATATATAACTTATTTCAGAAAATCAAATTTATGTTATTCATGTAAATTTGAAAATTTTATAAATCAAACTACATCAAATTAGTAAGATTAATTAGTAATCAGACAAATTATCTTTAAACTTTTTGTGCTCTCTTATCTCAAGAATAAACCTTGTTGAAAAAAGTTATTTTAACACCTAACTATAAATGAAGACCTACAGAATTAGACTGGAAGTCTAAAAATATTTGAAGATTATTACGATCTATATAGAACTACAAAGACTGATGTTAAGTTAACTTATTATTGCATTTAAAAGAGATTACTTATTGCTTTATTGTAATTGTAAGAAAGATGGCTCAGATGGGTAAAAAAATTACTTACTGGATTTATGAAAAACTTGCATTTGCAAAAGTATTTCTAATATTTTGGATACTTCTATGCCCTTTAATATGGAGAATACTTAGAATATTGTTCTCAAGAAAATATGTTGATAAAAGGCATAAAAAAGATGTCAGTATTGCTTTTTTTCATCCAAATTGTAATGCATGTACTCCTCAAGAAAATGTTTTATGGTCTGCAGTAAAAGCAATACAAGTAGAATATGATAACGTAAGGATTTGTGTGTATACTGGAGATTTAAAACTAAAAGGAGAAGATATCCTTGCTAATGTTGAATCTAAATTTGATATAAAATTACAACCAAATATCAAAATTGTGTACTTACGTCACAGTAAATGGATTAAAACTTTTGCATATATGGGCTCAATTTGGGTTGGATCAGAAGCACTTGTTCGTCTCAAGCCACACATTTTAATTGATACAATGGGCTATGGATATATCAATTTAATTTTTAAAAGAGTTGGAACTTGTAAAGTTATTAATTATATTCATAATCCTTTAGTGACACTTGAAAAACTCAAAACCAGGTATATTGTTTTAACTGATAATCAATATATATTGACAAGAAGACCACCAAGTGCTCTAGGAATAAGTAAAGGTAATATTTCATACCATTCTTAAAAAGAATATTTCATTAAACTCGTTTTCTTTCTATCTACTTATAGGAATAGCTAGTATATATGGTTGGACTGGAAGAATGGCCGATTTGATAATGGTTAACTCTTATTATACAAAAGAACAAATAGATGGTATCTGGCAATGTCCAGACAGAACTCATATTCTATATCCACCTATTGGTTTGGAAAAACTAATGATTCGAGCTGATGGTGCTTGGGACAAAAAAAGTATATACCGTATAATAAATGCTAGTGTGTTCAAAGAGGAGAGTAATCATGAACTTATACTGCAAGCACTATATAAATTAAGATCAATGTTGAATCCAACTATAATGAATGAAGTTCGTTTAATTTTAGTAAATTTGAGTACGGAGGAGGATGAATCATATATTAATAATTTGAAAAATTTGGTCCAGAAGTATAATCTATCAGATTTTGTCAAGATTTACCATAATTACATACATGCCAATCGCTTAGAGGAGGAACTCATAAGATCCTCATATGGTATTTATGCTAAAGTTGATGATCATTTTGGATCAGATATTATTGCTGGTTTGGCTACTGGACAAATTATGATAGTTCATAATTCTGGTGCCGCTAAAAATGAACTAATAGATAATGATGAGGATTCTCAGAATGGATATCTTGCTAAAACAGCTGAAGAATATGCTAAAGCTTTAAAAGAAGCTTTACAATTAACACCTGCAGAAAAACGTAAAATGCAGAAGGCTGCAAGGAGAACTGCCGAACAATTTTCACGTTTATATTTCCAAAAAAAATTTTTAGAATTGATTGAATCAGTTTTTGAAACAAAATAATTACAAGTGCTACTATGATCAATATCATCCTGGTAAATATTCCATAAAAATATCTACTTTTGATATAATTGTTATGAAATGTATTTATCTATTTATTTCTAATAATGGATACAATACGCAATACAACAAAAATTTTTTTAACTGGATTTCGAATAAAGCGCTCTTCCATTATGCTCATGCGCAACTTGCGATTCGTAGTAGACTAAAATCAGCTGTTTTCTGATTCATTAGATTGACTTGTGTGTAAATTGCACTTTACATATTATAAAGTGTTATAATTTTATATAAAACGCATAAATATTGACCAATAATTATTTGAAATAACAGTGAAATATTTATGTAATAAGTATATTACTCGTATATCCTTTGGATAAATAAATATCTACAAAAATAACTAGAAAACAATGAAGTGATTTGAAATCCAATATAACGACTAGAAAATGTAAGTATATTCTCGATAATTTATACTCTTGATTTTAAGCTACATTTATTGTATTACATGTAGGGCCTGTAAATAATATGTAGCTTTCACGTTATAAAATCGTTACGTCAATTCATCATATAAGTCTTTTTTTCGAGCGCATTCTATTGGACAACCAATCGTAAGCAATCGTTATAGTTTCACACGTGATCACGCATTGTAGGTAGGGTTTGTAAACCGAAGTAAACCGCCGTTCGACCTATTTTTAAACATTTACTTCTGGCATCGGATTCCATACAAGTTTAAAATAAACCTAACTTTGTACGTTTCTCGTGGCGTCTAGAACATCCGTTGAAACCTTTTTATTTGTGGCCAGCCGTCGTGGGAATGCATTAAGAATACAGACTTTGAAGCAGTAGGAAACCAGAGTTGATACTCTACATTACTTTTCTAAAATTCGTTTAACTGTTTTATTAAGTTATCGTTGACTCAGTGAAGTGTATTTGTTTATTTGACTGATATTTGATTATTTATTTACGGTAAGCTTGCAGTTTCAAGTACTATACTTGCTACTATTAGTCATCATAAGTTAATTAATCATATTTTTAAACATTGTTAACTTTGAAACAAAATATTTTAAGAGATTTTGATTTGTAAAAATATTTGTAAACCATTTTTTAATTAAAAACCAAAAAATTATTTATTGATAAGTGAAAGTTTCACCTTAATATAATTTGTGAAAATTCCAGTTTATATTGCCTTTTATTTTCTAAATTTGCCTTATATTTAGTTTCTTTTCTTTAAAATTTAATCATTAATCTATTACATAATCTTTTATCATTTTCAATATATGTTTTTAGACTGACAGTAAATTACGAAAAATGACAAAATCTGAATTGACACCTCATGAGTGGAAAGAAAGAGGAAACGAAGAATTCAAGAATGGGTTCTTTGATAAAGCTTTATCATGTTATACACAAGCTTTAAAACTTACTAAAGAAGATAACTTTGATAAAGCAATTTACTACAAAAACAGAGCAGCAGTATACTTGAAACAGAAGGACTATGAAAAAGTTATCAAAGATTGTGAGGAGGCTTTAAAAATCTCTCCGAATGACCCAAAAGCTCTGTTTCGACGTTGTTTAGCTTTAGAAGCTTTGGAAAGGTTTGAAGAAGCATATCGGGATGCCCGTGCTGTTATTACATCTGATCCAGGTGATAAAGCAATTCAACCAATTGCTTCTCGTCTTCATGAAATTTGTCAAGAGAGACTGAGACAAAATTCCAAAACATCTGCCAAGGTATCATATTATGTATTATTTGATATATTTTTACAATATATTTACCTAGTTTTATCATGTTAATATTCATTTGATAATATTGTATACAGGTAGCACAAATGTTTGAACTAGCTTTTGATATAAGCACCGATAAGGAAAAAAGGGAAACTGCCATGAACAACTTATTAGTTTTGGCTAGAGAAAAAGCTGGAGCAGACATCATGTTCAAGCAAGGTGTATCTACAAAGATTCACCAGCTTCTAAAATCTGAAAAAAATGAGGTAATAATTCTTGCAGCAGTTCGTATATTAGCTGAATTGTGTAAAGATTGCATAGAAAGAACTGAAACAATATTAAAAGATATCGGAGTACCTTGGTTTCTTGATGTGCTCAATAGCAAAAATGAAGACAGAGTTAATGCTGGACAGTATTGTATACAAGTAATATTTGAAACTATCTTTCATTTAATAATTTTGTACTTTGCTTGTTTACTTAAATATCACATACATTTATTTATTTCAGACTGTTCTGAACTGCTACAGTGGTATGGATACAAAACCAGATAGTAAACCTAAACCTGAAATGTGTGAAAAGTACAAGAAAGAAATCGATACCATTCTTTCATGTTTATTATTCTGCACAACAAATCGTACTTTTACGGGTTTGGGTAGAGATGCTGTAATTGAACTAATCATGAGAAACATTCATCATGATATTTTGAATTGGGCTGAACGATTGGTAGATCTTAGAGGTTTACAAAGGCTCATGGATGTGGCTAGTGAACTTGAAGATTACAAATATGAATCTGCTATGGATATTACGGCATCTACAAGGACTGTTACAAGTGTCTGTTTAGCCCGAATTTATGAAAATATGTACTATGATGCTGCTAAGAAGAAGTTTACAGAAGCCATTGATGAGTACATCAAAGATAAACTACTGGCACCTGATATAGAATCCAAAGTAATTTAATTACCCTTTATCCATTTCTTACTTTTTCAAAAACTAATCATCTTACCAATTCTTAATTGTACCATGCTTTTTTTCAGGTACGTGTAACTGTTGCAATAACAACTCTATTGCTAGGACCTTTGGACGTTGGTAACAGCATAATTGGTAAAGACGGCATTTTGCAAATGATTCTGGTAATGGCTGGTAGTGACGATTTACTTCAACAGAAGGTAGCCTGCGAATGCATCATCGCCGCAGCTTCAAAGAAAGACAAAGCAACTGGTATAATAAACCAGGGTGTTAACATTCTCAAAAAATTATATCAATCGAAGGACGATTCCATTCGTGTTCGCGCACTTGTGGGTCTTTGCAAGCTAAGTAGTTGCGGAGGTACAGATGCGTCTATCCGTCCATTTGCCGATGGAGCTTCGCAAAAGCTCGCCGAAGCTTGTAGAAGATTCTTGATCAATCCAAACAAAGACAAAGATATGAGAAAATGGGCTGTGGAAGGTCTGTCATATCTCACTTTCGACGCAGATGTTAAGGAAAAATTGATCGAAGATAAAAATGCTATTCAAGCTATGATTGAATTGGCAAAGACAGGCGATAAATCTGTCGTTTACGGCGTAGTTACGACTCTTGTGAACCTTGTCAATGCCTACGATAAACAAGAGATTATTCCGGAAATGATCGAGCTTGCCAAGTTTGCCAAACATCATATTCCAGAAGAATCTGAATTGGACGACGCCGACTTTGTAGCCAAGAGAGAAATTTTCTTGGTAAAGGCTGGTGTTACAACTGCACTGGTGGCTCTGTCGAAAACCGACAGTCAGAACAGCAAAGAGTTGATTGCTCGCGTGTTCAATGCTATCTGCAGTCAACAAGAAGTACGTGGAATAGTCGTGCAACAAGGAGGTGCTAAAGCGCTTCTACCATTAGCACTTGATGGAACAGATAAAGGGAAAAAGCAAGCTTCGCAAGCTCTAGCACGTCTGGGTATTACTATTAATCCAGAAGTAGCTTTCCCAGGTCAAAGGATTTATGAAGTCATTAGGCCACTTATTAATCTATTGCAGCCAGAATGCACTGCTTTGGAGAACTTTGAAGCTATGATGGCTCTTTGCAATTTGGCTGGTACTAACGACAACGTAAGAAAGAGGATATTGAAAGAAGGAGGTTTCTTAAAGATTGAAACATACATGTATGAAGAACACGACATGCTGAGAAAAGCTGCCACGCAATGCATCAACAATTTAGTTATGTGCGAAGATACTATCAAATTCTTTGAAGGCAGCAATGATAGAGTAAAGTATCTTGTGATACTATGCGAAGAGGAAGATATAGATATCGGTTTAGCAGCATCTGGTGCTTTGGCTATGATAACTACGGCAAGTAAAGCTGCTTGCTGCAAATTCTTTGACACAAACAAATGGCTTGACGTCATGAAATATCTTCTGGCAAATCCCAACCAAGATCTACAACACAGAGGGGCAGTCATTATATACAATCTGATGAATTGTTCTAAAGATACTGCTACTAGAATCATTCAAACCGACATTATGGAAGTTTTAATGGCACTTACCAAGAGTGAGTTGGTTCAGAATGAGAAAGTTAAAAAATTAGCTGCTGATGCTTTAGAAGCAGCTGCCAAATGGAAAATTGTGGAAAAACTTGATAATATATCATCAGTACCACCTACGTCAAATGATTCTCATGATCACGTCGAATAATTTTTTTTTAATTTAAATAAGGATTGTAAATACTCATTGCCGTCATTTAATTGTAGAATGCTTTGATTTTTCAAAAAGTATTTGATCTTTTTCTTTTAGATGCTGAGCTGTAAAAGTATTATTATACTATATTTTTGAAAAATTAAAACATTTATCAGTGTAGCCACAGAAAGCTTTTTTTTTGACTAAGAAACATACAAAATATTGTGCCTTGAAATTATTTTAAAAGACTGTTTACATTTAGATATACCTAAATAAATTTATATACATACATTTTATTGTCATTTGTACTTATTGCAAACGATATTTACATAATCATGTAATCACTTTCAAATTATATTAACTTTACATTTTACAGTTATAAAATTTTATAAAATTTATATCACCTTGTTATTTAATTTTTATAACAAAATTGTATATAAAACGTAAACTGTGTTTCTTTTATTCCCATACTCAGTCTATTAATTCTCGAAAAATGGATGTAGCAAAGCTTGCTCTGCTGTAATCCTTGTCTTGTAATCCAAATCTAATAATCTTATAAGTAATTGATACGCTTCAACAGGATATTTTGATCCAGGATCCTTAAAATTATATCATTATTCTATTAATATTTCAAATATTTAATGAAATGACTAAATCAAATAAAAAATATAAATTACTTCATCAACATTTTTAACTATAATTTTGGAAATTTTATTGCGTTTTTGTAATTTTTGGCAGAGAGAAGTAAGATCAATAGCAGGAGTATTATTAGAGCATATAAACTTTTTGCCTATGAAAAAAATTAAATACATTAAAAAAAGTATTTGTTATAATTGATAGCATATAGCACCTTTTTAAAAAAATATAAAGCAATCTTACCAATTTTTTTTGCACATTGCTGTATAGCGGTAGAACCAAATACTGTGGTAATCTCTGCTAGAGCAGTCATGTCATCAGGACTGCGAAAAAAAGGTTGAGTTCCACTCAATATACTAAGCATAATGACACCACAAGCCCAAATATCAATAGCTGGTGTTTGGTATGCATGCTTCAGTAAAACTTCTGGAGCTCTAAAACCAGGTGTGCCAGCTCTTGGTGCATTTTGCAATGGTTTAACTAGACATATTGAACATATCTTTGGCTTTCCAAAGCAGCAACATTTATTAGTTACTTGTTTTCTGGTATTTTTCAATGTTTTATCCATTTGTTTATTCTAAAAAAAAACAGAAGATTTTATATTTTAAATTAATAAGTCATTTAGCTTACCTCATCATCACTTTTTTTCCACTTGACAATGTTAGTCACTTGAGCTTTGGAATAATAATCTCTTGGTTTTTCATTTTTTATATATTGTTGTGCCAACCCAAAATCAACTAACAAATATCTTCTGTTTTTCCTATCATATAAAAAATTACTTGGCTTTATGTCTCTATGAATAATATTAAACTTATGGACTCTAGCTACAGCTGTTAACAAAGCTTTCATATATTGTTTCATCTCATCTGAACCCATATTCAGTACGTAATCCTTGAATGTGGATTATAAATAAATTAGGTATAAAAATTTTATTGGATATAAATAATAATTAATTACCGAAAACCTATCATGTCTCATAAAAGGCATGACAAAAGCTACGGATCCACCATTGCGTAAACACAACTCCAATCCCACAACATGATCTTTACCTCTACAAAAGGAAATTAACATTTATAATATTCCACAGATTTAAATGTTTTTCGTGAGTGTTAATTATTATAATTGTTTATATTTAATATTTTGGAGTCACAGATTTATTGAAAATTAATTTTAATCAAATTTAATCAAGTTGATGCAATGTTTACCCAATATCTTTCAAACATTGTAATTCTCGTTCAATTCTTCCAGGATGACAAGTAGGAACCAAATGTTTAACGGCAAAGTTTCTTGACTGTGTTGTATTTTTCAATGTAGCAAGAAAAACTGAGCTAAAAGTACCCTCTCCAACTTTGTAATGTATGTAAAATAAATCGTCAAGAACAGGCATTGCGTTAAGCAATAAAGATATTTTAGCGTTGCCATCGTCTGATAGATTTACAATAGACAATTTAATTCATAAAAGTGAAATAAACGCATTATCACATAAATTTGTTTTTTTTTGGTTTGGTTAGAAATACTTACCATCAACTTTTCCCTCAAAAGATTTATTAACAGATTTTTCGATGTCCATGCTTAAAAATGAAAAATGAAAAAAACGATTATTTACACATGATTATAAAAACCATAAGTTGAAAGCAACTAAAAATAGATAGAAAACAAAAACTAAAAAGCGCGCGAATGCTTAATTTTTAAGCGCGTAAAGCCGTCTGCAGGCCGTCTATCCGTGTATATATGTACACACACACAAACACGTGTACACCCACACACACCCACCAACTTAGTAAGAATGAGGAAAATATTTTTCATGATTTCATGACCAATCAGTAATTTATTGTGTATTTAAATTTAAAGAAAAAAAATAAATTCAATGACATATGAATGAAGTCGTATTAAAAAAATGGAGGACAGTGTAGATTATAACAGTAATTTTAAATTGTTTATTTTTTATGAATAAAAAGAAATCAGTTTGTTATGGCGAAATTGGAATTTATTTGAAAATTTAACATATTTGAAGGATACGTTTCTATATCGATAGAAAGGGTTTTCTAACAATTGCTACCTGAAGAACATGAAACTAATTCCATTTTTTGAAATATTTATTAAATCGAGTAATAATTTATTATCTTGTGCAGTTAAAATAATTATTTCGATGAACATGCTTTTTTCAAATTAATCATTCAAATATTTCGTAATTTCTACCCTGATCATTTGTTATTTTTGTTCATAATTTTTTATCTTTGTTGGAAATATAAATTTCTAAACTAATAGAATAAATTAAAAAAGTACGAAAGAATCATATATAGTAATATCTCTACAACTATGTTAATAACTATTTACATGACTGCAAATTAAAGGTTTTTTAATTTCCTCCCTCGTTCGTTGTACGATCAATATAGTGGTATATTGAAACTCTATTTTTTCAAAGTAATATATGAAAACAATGGCACTGTACAATTTCTACAATTGACGTTAGGTAAAAAGAAATTGATGAACGATTTGTAGTTATTGATGTTCGACTTCATTCCCAATAATAGCACCTTTAGATAAAATAATAATTGATATCAACTAACTGCTCATTGATCACTGTCGTTCTCATACTCGTATACACTACAGTACATGTAGCAATACAAAATTATTCTGTACAACAATACATTAAAATATGATATTTGTATAACAACTAAGTATTAAGTCTGCGCCGAGCCGTAGGTCCCGGTTGGTGGTCGATACTGTTTTGGAAATGTCATTATTTGTAAACTATTAAACGCGTACTTCCTCACGCCAATATTTTTCCATGTGTTTTCTCTTCGGCATCCCTCGCTGAAACAGTAGATTCAAATGAACACACTCTATAATAAAATTTGTTGGTTCTATTAAAAAATAGTTGTTTACCTTCTCATGCAATCCAGCGCTCGAATAAACTCATGTTCTGCCAGATGATATTCCGTAGCTAAAATGTTTACCTGCTCCAAGGTTATCGACATTCCAGTTCTATCTTTAGCACTCTTGCAGCTAGTAAATCGCAAACCACGCATTCGCCTACATATTTGAGAAGACAGTTGTAAAACCTCGACGTTTTTATTCACTTTTGTTTGAACGCTGGACTTCAAGTTTGTCATCACGTCAGACAGTGTTTGATTTAAAGCTGATCTAGTTCCAACTAAGATGAAAAAATAATTAGTCAAAGAAATGCCAATTTTACTAAAGAATAAACTTACATCTGGCAGAGGCAGGTTCTGTCGGAAGATTCAGTTTCTTAAACCTTAGGTAGTATTCGTTCAGTCTGTCGAAGTTATCCACGTTGCTTTTTTCTTGAGGTTTTGTGTTTCCAAGGCTTTCGGCGAGGGAAGCCATTTCATTAATGCCAATATTGAAAAACACAGGCGTCACATTAAAAGACAACGTTTGCTTGGATGACGGTACTAAAGGAAGTAGAGAGTATATGGCATCTGGTACTGGAAGAAGCACTGTTAAAGCTGATCGCGATCCGATCACTCTTGGCATTGGAAATGGCGTTGCTTTCGATTTATTATCAACTCGACTGCAAAATTATAGAAAAATTTATCAATCAATTAATACATCTTCCCAATATTTCTTCATAAAATCCAGTAACGTCGAAGTGATTTCATCGTTACAAAATCAAAGGAAGCTTAAAAGAAAACAAAATCACAGAAACCTTGTATGAATTCCACACCTTGACAGTGTAAAGGTAACCGTATGTAGGTCTTCGACGGCTACAGCCATGTCACCCCACATATCAATTTCATCCCCGTAATAGCTGAGTAGACCCTCAAAAGATACGAGTGGTCCGAGTGTTGTCAAGATTAGTAAAAACATCGGATCTGGTCGTTGGCACCATAGTTTAGCCATCAGTCCTGAGACCAAGGCTGTCAACTAAAAAAGAAACATTCATATACAAATGAATATAGAATAAGATTTGTAACAAGCTTATGCACGATAATAAAATACTTACTGCTTGACTAAAGCACACGTCACGTCTATATCGAACGTTGCAAACTCGTTGAGCCGTTTTCGCATCCTCCTGCACCCTAAATACTGAGTGAGTAAGTCGTGCAGTTTTCAGTAAACCATCCATAGCTTGACGTAGTTTCTTCATACTTGGCCTCAATTCACTCGTCCAATCAACAATCGACGCGAAATCCAAACCCTCCGTAAATTTATTACGTTGCGTCGTTTGATTACTTTTGATTACCCTGGTCATTGTGTCGACGGCTTGGCACACTTTATTGGAAGACGTGTTACAATAAATCACAGTAGCACCTATATTGCCAAGCGCGTGTGACAGAGTAAATAATGGATTGTGGGTGAGTTGAATAAACCAAAAATAAAAAGACTAATAAGCGTGAAGGATATAGATTTTTCTTTTTTCGTGATTAAATTGATTAATCGTTCTTTTTTTAATTGTTTGAAGAAGTAGTTGCGCATTCACGTATTTGCAAATGATAATAATAATTTTATAATGTATGTGGTTGAGAAAATGGATTTTAGCTATTTGCACACGTAAGTGTATGTTATAGCAGTGTATAGAAAAATGCAAAAACATCGAATATTTTTCAAAAACACATAAATTTTATAATCAACATTCAATCTATTGCCTTCGAGTGTTTGAAACATTTATTTTCATTTACTTTACCTTCTTTCGCTTTAGATATAGCCGTATTTTGTTTATCCAAACTCTCCTGAGTTCCATTTTCTAACAGTTTACTAGCTTCCTCGCTCTTGATACCATTTTTCGGTTGAATCGTGACAACTGACGACGTACTATTTCTATTATTGGCTAAACAATTTTTCAGGCTCTGATGTCTGTCCATTCCATTTTTATTTCGCAGCCTCACTGCAGGACTACTACATCGTCCGCACAAAAACTTCACTTTCGATACGAGACACATGACGCTAGCTTCAATGTTTAATTGCGTTAAATCCCAAGGTTCTGGCTCATCGGTTGGTTTATAGTAGTTCGCAGATGGTGAATTGCACATTTTCTGAGTATCAAGGAAACGCTTACTCATATCGAAATCATTGGTGCGATCATAATCGGATTTTTCGTCATTCTTATTGTTATGATTGTTATTGTCTTCATACATGTTGTTTTCTTTTTCGGGATATTCTTTCGTGTCAATATCTTTCGGTTCATCTTCAACCTGAAAAAAATTTTAAACGTTAAAACTATAATCTATTTTTTACTATTAAAAAATTAGGATGTGCTTTCACCTCTGGAAATATTACAAAATTATCAATATGTTTTTGCGAGTTACTGTTCAGTTCATTGTTACAACTTAACGTAGCGTATTTGCTTTTCGCCGATTCTTTGGCCCAGATATCTTGTACACATTCGGGTGTATCTGGCGTCACAAATTCATCAAAATCCGGACTTTTCAAATCAAAATTCAATTGTTGTGTTATTCTCTTAAAAGGCGAAAGCGTCTGATTACCCCGGAAATGAAGTGTCAACGAGTCGTCGCTATTGATATCATCTTGTACTTTGGCAACTTTGTGCTCTTCTAAAAAAGTGAGAGCTTCTTCGACAAGTCCTGGATCCCAGAGACTCAAGAGTATTCGCGTTTTCGTTATCATGTCTTCGCAAATTGGTAACATCCCGCTTGTTTGTTTCTCTTTCGCGAGTTTCATTAGTGAACGCATTGCATCGACCACGTCGCGTCGGAGTTGTTTGATGGCTTGAATTGCATCGTGAGCCATAGAAATTTTTGATGTTCCTTGATAGAGTTGGCTACTTCGTATTGGGGATTCCTTTAGCGCTTGCACTAATCTAAAATTATAAAATCATTTCCTTATTTTTTCGAATCTTGTAGTTGTTTTAATTGATCAAGATTTAGATTTCTTACCTTATAAGACCACCATTTTTACTTTTATGCGAGTGTGCCGTAAAAGCGCCGACGCTGATGAAATCATACAGGCCACACTTGTTAAGCGTGTCATTGTGCACCCACATTCTTTGTAAATGTAAGTTTAGAGGAGCGAATTCTAGCGATCTATCATTTTTCCTCGACGACTGTTTGAAATGGCTTCCTGTGAATTTCCTCGTATTAAAAAAAACGACCACAATAAAGTAAGATGATTGCATAAAATGTATGACTTACCCTTGAAAGCAACCAAATTTTCTTTAGCTTGTGAGTACAAATGTAAAAGATGCAAATGCCTATCCAAAAGCTCAACTTGTTTTGTATGCCAAGGCTCTCGTAACTCTCCCATCCCAGCTACTTCTTGTAAAAGTTCTTTCTCTTCTTGTATCCAAATCCCTCTGTAGACATTTACAAGTAAAATAAACTTCTATATAATTTAACAGCTTGTGAAAACTCAATGAACTTACAATAACTGTTGTGGAAATTGAAAGCACAATTTGCTTTCAGCCATAGTTTCATGCACACAAATATCACCGCCTAAACCAGAATGAAATCTACGAATCATCAAAACATAAAATTAACTCTCATAGACATACGAAATTATCCTTTTCAATAATTATACCTGTAGGTTTGAATAAAAGGACTGGCAAAGAGTAATTTCAATTGTCCTTGATGCGGAAGCTTTATTTTCGTACCCAATCTAGGCGGAAGCGATTGCGATCGTCTGTGGCAATACATTTGATTGGGGGTGCTTGGCACAATTCTAGAAGGCGTACTCTCGGTACTGTTTCCTTTATCTTCAGCTTCTAAATTCCACACGCTTATCGTCAGAAAACCAACCGTCGTTGATTTTGCGAACTTCAATGGTATTCGTAACCTAAATTATAACAAATTAATTATTAAAATTGTCGATGATGATAATTTCTCTCGAGACAGAGAGAGAAAGAGAGAGAGAGAGAGAGAGCAGACAGAGAGAGAGAGAGAAAGAGAGAGAGGGAAGGAAAATCTGCAGCTACTGCGAGGAAAAAGGTCACGTGTCAATTCCCTCTGATTGAAGTGAATTGACGACGACGACAAAGAGTCGTCCATTAAAATTTCTAATGCATTTATGAAAGTACACTTGCCAATGTACCCTGACAGATTAAATAAACTTTCATCTCGGCGAAATTACTTCTCGATATAAAGTGAAAGTGAAATTCTAATTTCCACGCTAGAATAATCAGTAGGTCATGGATAATAACCATATCCTTTCACTATATTCCTTACCTAGGTGTATCAAGAATGGCACTGAAAGTCATGACGGCACTGCCAATAGGCGTAGCGGTTTGGCTAACTCGTTCCCTCACGTCGTAGGCGGTAATACGAAGTCGACACTCAGCCGTTATGCCGTCGCTCGCACGAAAGCTCACAGTCGTTAGGAAACCAGGGTTACTGCTACGCTCGACCAACTCGGTACGAGCGTATTTCACCCACATTTTCGTATGACACGTCTGGACATCCACCTCGAGCACTGGATTTGGTGGACGACCGTGCCCGTCGCACAATAGATTGTCGCATGCCAACGAGATCTCGCACATCGGAATTTCAGCTGGGTCTGTGTGAGGAATATATTTCAATAACTTGCGTTTGTTTATAGCCTTGATCATCGATGAGGGCTTGATCAATATTACATCGTGATTGTAGGGCAAGAAAATGAAGATTGCTAAAAATACGAAAACTCATTTTCCTTGGATATTTCCGCAAGACCACAGACGAAAAGAAAAAAAAACAACTCGTCGCACCGTTGTCGTTGCGCGCGAGTAGGTATTTTTAACTTGGTCAACAGAGCGAGATAGAAAGAGGAGAATACGCTCAAAGCCGATGACGCTTGAGAATACATTATAGGTTTTAAATTAGTAGAATAGAATATATACATTCAGACTTGTTACTTTTGAAATAGACATTCCATTTGCAATAAAACGAAGAAAAAAAAAGGTGATAAAACTCTTTCATTTTTAACGGCCAACGTGAACTTATCCTCGTTGAATATTACATTATCATGTTCGACGAAACGATGCCGAGAAAATTCAAATCAATAAAAACCAATTCCCACCTGAAATAACACCACGTTTCAACCTGATCATCTGTATATCGGTGTCGTGTTTGTGTCCACTTGTAGTTTCCATTCTCTGCCGAAGCGCGAGCAGTTGGCTTCTCATACACTCGTAACTTGCCAATTGTAAAGCTTGCAACCAACTGTCCCTCTCCTGCGGCGTGTTGGCACCAAGTTGCTGATAGACGCCGCCGTCGAATACTACGATTCATTGAATTTCGTTATCGCATTGTTTTCCCTACGATGCTGGCGGAGTTCGAGGAATGGCCTGCACGCGCACGTCACAATCCGACACATTCGGAACTCTTCGTTGGCGTTGTCGTCAGCTGCTGCGAAAACTTTTCCGAAATAGCTTTCCCGCTCGCGCTTGTAAATATTATCGTTCGCTCATCTCAGCACCGCAAACATCATAGACGCACGTGAATAATCTTCGGCGCATCGAGGAAAGCTGAAATCGGCAATAAAGACTAAAGTTGGATCAAAGCTCATCTAGCTAAAGCTGACGTAACTGGGCTTACGCACGAGCGCGCGATTCGACGATATATCAGGCGCGATTATTTAACGACAGCTGTCGATGAGTGTCGAGCTTTACTTTGTCCACCAGGCCGGAATTACTTACGCCGTAAATAAATTGTAACGCCGACGTCGCGATTCTTATGCGGCGAAGATTATTTCGAAGTATCATTGATCGCTCTTGCGTGTACGCCGGACAGTGTAAATATAACCGCGAAAGTAAGTATACTGAAAGGCTTCAGCGCTCGCCTATGTACACACTGACGAAGTATGAAATTCCAAACGTCTTGCGTGAACGAGAGTAAACAGCGCGCTGCTTTTCTTCGCAATTAAATCACGACAATCCGATAATCATTTCATGCGCCTTTGCAAGCACTTCCACCGCTGAAGAGACGAAGAATAAGCATCGTGTTTTACGAAAGTTCGGTCGAAAAGCGTGCGTCGTGCGTCACGATTCCTCGGTGGAAGAAAAAACAGGCACACGCACGCACACACACACACACGCATACACACACACCGCCGTGCTCTTCCTTCTCGCAATCTCGTGTTTCGATCGATCGCTATATAAGAATAAATCCCCACCTATACTAAAGCCATAGGGCAGATGATTGGTAGGCGATTCGACTCTCACGGTGAACTGCTCTAGTATGATGACGCCTAGTGGCTCCGACCACTGTTCTCTCGATTTGAAGTAGAACAGCAGATTTCCACGCAGTCTGCACCAACGCTCGAGGCTTACTGCGAGCAAAAAATACGCGGTGCTTTTTTTACCGTTCTTTTTTTCCTTCATACGTGAATGTTTGGTGAGAGAGAAGACAATTTCTTTGACATTACGAGGACGAGGGTATTGATACTTTTTGGTGAGAGATGGACGTTCTCGACGAAGACTTTTTTGCCGTGCAGATTCACATCCAATCGTTCGCATAAAATATTATCCCACGCGTGCGTGCGAAAGAGTAGTCTAATGTATATAATCGGCATAAAAATTCTAACACACGTAGATAATAGTATTATGTAAATATTGGATTTATCCAGATTATCCAGATCATATCATTTTGAATGTTTTCGAAAAAATATACAACACGAAAAGCTCCGTATCAAAATAACAATTTTTCACACGGAAAAAATATCTTCATCGATGGTACAAATGACACAAGGTTTTATGAATAGAGAAAGACTGGCATTGAGTAATAAACAACATAATTCTACAAAATTGACGAGGAAGCAAAACTATCATCTAAAAGTCGTTTACCTAATAGCTACTAATTTATAACATTTTTGTAAAATTTTTTACATTCAATAATTCAATGAATCGAAAAGAACGTTTCATTAAATTTATTTTTCATTTTCAATAAATGCGGACGCTTGCAAGTGATGAAAAATAATTACGTATTATACTATAATAACATTAAGTAAAAAAAACGTGTAGCCATGCCTGATGCACCAGAATAAAACAAGAAGCATGCAGAGCATAAAAAAAAGGAATTGTACCGCATGCAGCGAGCACACACACCACGAATAATATAAAAAAGGACAGGAAAGATGCACACGAACTTTTGTTATTTGTAGCACGTTGCCGCATGCAGAGTGCGACGTGCGCCTATAAAGCGTTAGACTTTATCGAGTATGTATAGCTTATCGCGTAGAGAGAGGACAGAGAGAGAGAGAAAGAGCTGGCGGCTTGTATAAAAATGTGATGAGCACGCATGTAGATATATGTATGTGTGTTGCGTGGACGCGACACGTGTATAACTCTGTAAAAAAAATGAAATTCTCCTCATGCCAAGAATTGCTGCTTTTGTTATAACGTTTTCATAGATATGATGCTACTTTTCGGGATATGGGAAGTGAATTTGGAGTTTTGAATTATTGAAAAGGATTAGAGAGCACGTAAAGATCAAAATAACCATGAGTATCGCTAATGGAAATGAAGATACCAAGTTCGACAGAGGAAAAGAAAAACATAATAATTTTGACAGAATTTCAGTGCTACTGAAAAAGGAGAAAAAAGGCTAACCTACTATTATGTTGTTTTTTTTTCCAATCATCAAATTTGAAAATAAGGAAGCTCGTCGCAAAGGCAAACATTCCGAAGAAAGAATTTAACTACCAAAGGAAATAAACGCAACTATTTATTAACTTACACTTTTATATTTATTTCTTTTCTGTGTCGGCAATATCTCTTAACAGTGTGCTCGTTTGCGTATACCAACAACCCAGATTTATAAGTTTACTCCAAATTTTAGTACGATAATTCACGGTTTTTTCCAAGTTGTCAAGTGACAGCCAAATGAAAAATGTGAAGTAAACTCAGTACGACTGACAGTGGCGGGTTTTTCCTAAATACTGCAACCACGAGGTGTTAGATTAAACTCAAAGGTGTGTTAGTGGCGAAGGAACCCAAAGGCTCGACGGTGAGGAGAGTGTCGAAGGGTGATATTTATTTATTTATAAAAATTTTTTTTGAAGACCAGAAATTTCTTTTAATAGTTGACATAACTTTTATAACTTTTTGGGAGTCAAGTTAAATATTAGTATGGATATATTTACATTCTGACAATAAGGACATTATTTACACATTGTTTATAAAAGTTACGTATTTTTATAAATGTTATTGAAAAAATTACAAGTAATCTTTTTTGCGGAAGAAAATATTTTTTAAAATAAATATTTAAAAGAAATTTCAAAGTCTAATGTTTGTTTTTTAATTTCGGTCGTTGGTAGGTACCTTTACTTGTGCTGGTTGAAACGCAACTGAAGTCTCGGAGAGTCTTATGTGTTTTGCCCTTTTGTTTTTTGCTGTCAAGTTTTTTACCTGTACCTGGAAATTGCACGGAGGTACTAATTGTTATTAACCATGCCCCGTATGTACAACTTCATTTTTGGGGAAAGAGACCAAAAAATAACAAGTTGATTATAAACACTTAAGAATAATGTGCAAGTTTGGGAATCCTTATAAAAGTTCCCACGTTGAATGGTTTCTATCGTATTATCACTTATCTCCTAAACTTGACCGACGTCATTCGACTTTCCGTATTTTTTCTTTGGTTTAAAAAACATTTAATAGCAACAATGTCATTAGTTCAGTTAAGTACTTATTAAAACAAAGTTTCATCTACTACTTTGTTATTCATTTAATTGTTTATTAAAATGGTACTAACTTTGTACTTAATCTTTTTAGTTCAAAGCATGTTAATAAATTTAATTAAATTATATCGGTAAAACGTAACGTAGTAAAAATATTGTCACCGTACGTAAACAAAATTATATTGAAATTAGTCAAAAAGTACATGTTACTTTGATTAATTTTAACACAGTATCAATAAGTTTATTTAAACAATTTTACAATGCCACGTACGTAACATTATCATCGCGTTAGGCACCTCCACCAATGTGTAACGTTTGAATGAACAATAACAGCATTTACACATGATTAATTGTTTACAAAAATTATAAAAAAACATTCCGTCACTAATCAAAACAAAATTATTTATATATAGTAGTAAATCTATATTCATTCAAATCAACTAATAACGTTGATAAATGTACACTTACAACACATTATGTATAATAGTTAACATGCCGTTTTTTTTGTGAAAAATAATAAAAAATTGTGATGATAACTATTCAACAACAAACATCTTGTGATCTAATACAAAAATACACAATGTCTTAAAAATCTTACTATTAAATATATATAATATTATTATTATAGAGTAAACTTAAACAATATATACTATTTTGGTATTGCAATTCAAAATCTTACTAACATCAAACTATGCAAAAAATGATCTTTCTAGTGAAATTTCTTAATTATATTCAGTTATTTTTTCTATAAATTAAAACTATTCAATTAACCATATTGATATATCTATGAATTAAAACAAAATTCATAAATCTTAAAATAAGCACTATGTAAAATTCTATGTGAATATTTTCGTCATACATCATTAACTACAAAATCTATTTCAATTAAAAAGAATGATGATCATTAAAAAAATGTATTTTTAAGTCTGTATTTCAATTTTAGAATCAAGGCGAAACAATTACTGCGAATAATTATTCAAGAACATGCAGCTGTTCTATAAACTATGATGTATGATTTATTGATTGGTGACATTAATCAAGCATTCTTTGAATTGAGATATAATTGTGTACATGTATGTGTGTACAATGACTTACTCTCTGTCCTACGAAAGAAGCCCTCTTGACGCTCTCGTACATAGAGTATACCTTCCTTCTCAAATTTCTGTGAAGGCTGGGTAGCCAGAGTCATCAACTCTTGCTTGTTAAACCTCATTTTGATTGTGATTACCACATCCTAATGCTGCATCTTTTTCCTGGAAAATTATTGGATTCTATCAGTGCACTCTTTATTTTATTGCATGAAGAAAATTTAACAAAGGGTCGCATAAATTGAATAGTATTTTAATATATAACTATTTTAATTATTTTATAGTAGTTATTTTATATAACTACTTTATATTACTATGGAAATATTTTTTCCCCTTCCAAAGCAATATTAAAATTAATGACCTATACATTTTTATATAGATGTCTAGAAAATAAAGCATAATACAAGTGGAAAGGTATCACAGTCCCAAGAGAGCTATGTATCAAACGATATATAATCCAAAATACAAGTGTCATACAGTTAACTCAGATCTAATCTAAATATTACAAAACTGTACTTTGAGGTTGTTTTATAGAGTATTGAAGATTTTCGTAACTGAGTCTGATAATTTATCATAAAACAATGATAAATTTAATCAGATTAAATAACATTAAGAAAATCTAGCATATATTCAAATAAATATATTCAAAAATATTTCACCAAGAAATAAGCAAACTACAAGGTTTTGTAAATATGTAAAAAAAGTAACTGAAAGACAAACACTTATAAAGATCTAAGGTTAACTGATTAAATTATTAAATGTGTATAACAAGGTGAAGATAAGATTAATACTTTCATTAACAATATTAAGATAGCAAACTTTTCATTTACATAGATGGAGATAGATGGAGATGGATATGGAAGATGTAAGACAAGATAAACATAGTCAAAACTATAATATTGTTAAAACTTGGATCATAGGACTCTCACTTTTAGTTGAATAATGTTATAAAAAAAATAAAAAACTAAGATATCTAGCACAGCTCCAAAATAAAAAAGAGAGAGAGAGAGAGAGAGAGAGAGAGAGAGAGAGAGAGAGAGAGAGAGAGAGAGAGAGAGAGAGAGAGAGAGAGAGAGAGAGAGAGAGAGAGAGAGAGAGAGAGAGAGAGAGAGAGAGAGAGAGAGAGAGAGAGAGAGAGAGAGAGAGAGAGAGAGAGAGAGGCTGGAACAGAAACGACCCATTACAAAATCTGAAACAACGCTGACTCCCACGTAATATTGACACAACACACACCCAGTGTTGAGCCAACAAGACTTGACTGTTGACTAAATAATTAACATCTTTACAAATCACGATCAGAAAGAAAGGGAAGCTAAACTCACAATGTTTTTCTCCCAGAGACCTGCTCAAAGAAGGCGATCACACAAAGGCCTCTCTGTCTTTTGCTCTCGAGTGAGATTCAATCAGCTGGAAAGTGCATCGTCGTATATATAATAGAACACCTACAATATATATACTTTTTCGCTGTTTCGGCACGTCCTCCTAGGAAATATCTCCTATTCCGGACAAGACGAGAAGATACGCGCACATCATCAACCGGCACAACTCTCCTGCTCCTTTCTGTGAAACATCCGCGCACCAGTGGTGTCGACTATTATTATATTTTCTGTTTTTGCGGGATGGATATGCGCGTCGTGGCGCATCGATTCATCATATCTCGCACGCCGCACGACGACTGGCGCGGGTAGCAGCTTTCTTTTGGGCGCGACGGATGGCTGCAGAGAAAGCCCCCTCGCAACAGAAGGCGAATACTGGGAGAATGCCACAATGTCAATCGCTTACTTGCCGACCCATCACTCTTTTTTACTGTATAGCGAGTTGCAGTCGTGATGGGTAGAGGACGCGACATGCACCTCCATTCGAATCGTCAAATTTATTTTGTTTAAACAATTGAAATTTTGCAACGTAATATTTGTTTGTATGCAAATTAATTAATCTTCCGCTAACATAATTAAATTGTGTTTTTCAGAATCAAATCTCATACGAAAGGTGCGCTGCTTAGCCTCACGGAACTGCTCTAAGAAGGGTTTACGGTGGTGCGATTGATAAACTTTGACCATCTCGCAAAATGGTAAACTAGCGAGTGAATTGTGAAGTATTTAATAAGATGAAGGCGCTGTAAAAAAGACAAAGATGGAGAAATTTCTCGTTGCTTCAAAAAATTGTTTGGTAATATATTATAATCAGTTATTAATTATTTATATTTTTGCTGAAATAATTGCTTTATTATAGTAGTTAATTCATCTCATTTATGAATTTACCATTAACAATATAATTTATAATAATACACTGCAATAAAAAGGTACATAACTTGATGCATTAAATCTATCTATTAAATAAAATTATTACATTGATGTACAATGGTACACAGGACGAATTCTGCTAAAAGCAAAATAAAATTATTCAATGACGACCTATTTCCCTTTATCTCAAATATTCGTTAGAATTCACATATCATTGCTTTTAAAAAGTTTTGAAATATTAAACAAAGTCTCTAATTGAAACATTTTAGTACGGATAAAAAGCTTTCTGCACATTTTCTATGTTTTTTAAACAATGCAACATCATTCTCCGCCCTGGAGGCAAATACTTTTTCGGCAGAGAGCGCGTATTACATTTAGATTCGGGAACGGGTGTATTGTGTGACCGATATTAAATTTTAATTGGCGGGGTCGATAGCCGAAACAATGTAAATTCAAATATACGGAAGGTCCGAGTACGCCATTCCATTAAAACATATTTTATGCATTTACCCATTGATGGGAAAGCAAAAACGGCTTAGCTTCTTGTTCAATAAATCAAATAAAAAAACAAAAATGCTCGCTCGCTCAATATTCCAGCGAGATCATATTTGACGGGCAAAATAAATCTGTGACTTTGATATTTTATTTTGATTGAATGTAATGTAAGCGAAGCGTTGGGAAAAAGATGTAAAATTATTACGTCTATGGCAACATTATACCTTGATTAGCGATATGTAATTATCCAGAATCGATTGGAAATGTGCAATCCCAAATGCCTATGAATTGCAAAATCTGATTTCAGATAAACGCCAATGACTACCAACAAATCCTGGTTGTCCTCGGTAACCCAACGTGCGACTTAGACTCGGCGGTGTGCGCATTGGCGAAAGGTTACCTGGAGTACCGCGAACAAGCGGTAAGTCGAATCACGGGAGTGATTCCAGTGTTGAACGTGACGAGAGATGAGTTCCGGTTGAGGACCGAAGTCGTCTACTATCTAAAGCGTTGCGGCGTGCCGAGGGACCTGTTGACATTTCGGTAAGCGTATGGCTGTGGGCTACCCGATTAATCCATTATCGCGCACGCACCAATAAACCTGCATGTGAGAGTGACTCGATCAATAGCGACTGGATAATCACTTGGGAGGCGGCGAGTCGCTTCGCCTGCACGCCGTGAGAGTGTGTGTGAGGTGACTCGGAATAATTAATTCGACTTTGGATCGTGCCCCCTTCCCTTCTCACTCATCTGTCTGTATTGTAGTATCGTATTAGGTAATGCGTTTGATTTGGACGATACGAACATAGCGGCTCACTTTCATGCTGTAATTAATTATTGTGACCTAATTAATATTACTTCATTTACTAATTGGCATAATTATATCCAACGACCTAATTGTACCTAACGGCATTCTTATCAGACGTGAATGACCTTTTCAACGCATCTCGTGAAAGGTGGACTTTCGTTCGTTACTTATTTTGCACATTATTTTTACAACAGCTGCCCGAATCATACTAGAACGTTAAAACTAGTATCTTTTACTCTTTGCATCAACACATTGTCGCAGCGACGATATACCAACGAGATATCATGCTCCGAAAAAAATCGAGAAAATACTTGTAAAGTGCCACACGAGAATCCTTTTACGCTGAGACCAAGAGATAAAAGCTCTGCGCAAGGAAAACGTTCTTGCTTTGTTTTCTCTCCTCTTTTTCTTCTCGGTTGAACTCGTTCAAGTTCTCCGTGCACATACACGTGCTATATTTCAATTAGCCAGCTCGTGGGGCTAAAATTTATTCATGAAATTCTTAACGCCGACATTTATCATTAAAAGCGGCGCGCGCCTGTAAAATGTAAAGATACAACAACTAATGAAAAAATACGCGGGCGAGCGAGGCGCGGATGTAATGCAAAAGAGCCTGGGACTACATTATCCTCGTTTCCACATAAAACATTTATATTAAAAACCTTATTACCCTTCGCCCGCGCGCGCACCGACAATGCTATCCCTGCTAAAAAGACGCCAGCCTTCTTTTCTCATTTGAAACAAAGAAGGCGCTCGCCTTTCAGCCGGAGGCGTGAGGAGAAAGCCTTACACTCGGCGCTGATTAATTTACGCGTTAAGCTCCCACGGCGATTAATATTCAAGCTTTTCTCTTTCTAGCCCTCCGCGTGGCAAAAACTCGGTCCTCCCGTGCTCTTCAATAAATCATTCGGCTCGAACGATCGATGCGCCGACGCAGCTCCCTCGGACAAAAAAAAAAAAAGTTTACGCAAACGTCCAGTTCGCAATTCGTTAAAGTTTGACGGAATTTTTGCGCGCGCTATCGAATTTCCTGTACGCGCGCGAAATTGCGTTTTTGCGCACCGATCGAGGGCCCAGCTTTTCCAGTCGGTATTTTTAATTAAGTGCCATTCGCTACCGCAGCAGCTGGTTGGGCGTTCAAAAAATAATCGCTTGCACTATCGAACGTGTCGTCGTCGTGTAGTGTGAAATTAAACAGTTCGTATAATATTGAGCCGTTGGATTATAAATTCGCTCCAAGAGAAAGAGAGAGAGAGAGAGAAAGCCAAGCTAATATATATTGCACTTGTCACTCGGATGGAAGGAACGATGTGTACACACGCTGACTTTTTGGCGCAACACAATTGTCATCAGAGTTATAATGAAAACGAGTTGTCGAATGTAGGTCAGCCGTCGAGAGCTTTTTTCATCGTCGCCTTTTCTTTTATTTCTTTTTTTTTTTTGTTCAACTTTGCTCTAACTTTCTGTGTGTGTATTCAGCGAAATTTTCAAACGAAATGAATATAAGTACCGAGAGAATGAGATAAAATGAAGTGCGCACTATTCTACATTTTTTCGACTTGTATTTCGAGAGATAAGAAGAAAAGTTTATTATTTAGAAAGTACGTAGTTGTATCATATTTCACATTTATTTTTAACTACGAGTTCTTGGATGGTCCACATTTTAAAAGATATTCCCATCAGGGTTAGAAATAAAACAGCGGCAAAGGATTTCAGTGCTACACTTCAAAAAGTGGTTTTATTCTAGGTACAAAGTTTGAATTGAATTAAATATCATGAAGTTTCTGAAATAACTGAATTACCGTCGACGTTGCTAAAGATAATTTGGAAATAAAATTGTTCGTTCGAGGAAAGGACACGCGAACTGTCGATAGAATATATCGAGAACAAGCAATCGAGAAAATTGTTTCCGGAGAGATATCTATAAACGTTCTGCACCTGCCAATACACAGCCCACTTTTGAAAAAAAAAAGAAAGAAACGTTTGAAACCCCAATTATCGACTTGGAGCTTCTAAAATACGTTCGTTTATCGGTGCGCGATCAAGATACGCGAATGAATATAGCTTGCATGAGAGCTACGTCGGCTGTGGATTCAATATTAAAACGTTGGAGTATCGACTTCACCTCTCATTCAATGCTTATATCCTTTGTCGTCAGGCGAAATGAAATTTCTGTCTCTCTGCTGCATATCGACTTTGCACTTAACGCATCCTGTGTATCGAGTGAGTTTTGCTCTCGGCCGACTTTCAACGGACCGAATCCCACGAGATTAATTTCGACATGCCGATATGTAATGCAAATGAGGGAACTCGTTCGACACACGAGAGAGAAAAAACAAGTACATTGGAATTGGCTGTTGCGTGTGATTGAATATCGGATGCAAGCTAAACAAGATTATTAAAGTGGGGAAGGACATGTATGGAGGCTGCGTGATTGTGATGTCGAGCGAAAGATTTTAATTTCATTAGGCTGCTTTTTTTGTTTTAATAAACGTATACACCTCGTTATATCGCCTCGTTTTCACGTTTTTATTATTGCCACTCGATCTCCGTTCTTGTTGACTTCTCTCACGCTCGTTTGCATATTTAACGCGAGGTGAATTAGCGCGAGCTTTTTTTCCCATTGCCAATTATTAATCATTCGATTAATGCTGATTACTACGCGTACGCGGATTATTTGCATATTGAGTGAATGTAAGCGAGTCGCAAAACGATGTCGATTGTATTTTTACCAGGACAAAAGGACAGAAATTGACGGGAAACGTTGTTGATTGCTTTGAGGCAAAATAATTATGTATCTCATTAATTTTTCGATCTATATTGATGGAGTTGGTTCAGTTACGGCAGCAAAAGCCGCTGTCGGATGTTAATTAACGAAACAAATGCGAATGTAATAGATTGACGAAATTTCTTCGAAATCTGACCAGAATGTGAACTCAGCTTTTCCTATACGTAGATAGACGGCGTGGCAACAGTTTGCTCGTCAAGCCACGAGAAAAAAAAGGGAAAAAAAGAAACAAGGGCGCAAATAAGCCGAAAAAAAGGAGAAAGAGCGATGGTTTTAAAAGCATTTAAAAGAAAGCAGTAGCGTTGTAAAAGTGCTGCAGTCCGGAAAATTGCAAGCTTTCAAGCTATTGCATCCCCGTAATTTCCTCTCGTAAAGATGCAGCTTCGCTTCTCACTTACCAACGCGCGCTCGCGCTCTTGGATTACACTTTTGTGAATGGCCAACGAGTGTCTTTTCTCTCGCACTTTTTAATAGCCTTGCCCTGAAATCTCAAGACGTGAAATGTTTTTAATGGCTTTACGCGCCAACTCAGGCTCTCTGCTGCACTGGTTAATGGATTCATGGCGATTTATTATAAAGTGGGTGGTAATTGTCGACTTTTTTCAATTGATGACATTCTATTCTGTTGCGATAGATATATTCAATCACCGAAAAGCACTCGAATTCTAAATCTTATTCCAGTTCTTTCAAATGCTTCGGACGTTCAACTGGAGGCTTTGCCGAGAATGAAACATGATATTCATTTAAAACTTTCATTGACGATTCGCAAAAGTATAAAGAGAAGATCATCCTTTGCAATATAAATCCATTTACTTTGAAAACCATTGAAAAGCGTTATTCTATGCAAGCGCTACTATTTCCACGTCAAAAGAGAGAGAAATTGGCCAAAGATTGATAAAGATAAAGCTTCTTTTGATAAAAGCCGGTGTGCGCTTTTCAAAAATATGCATCAAATAAATTTGATCCAAAGAAAAAAAAACAATTCAACTTTTACTTAACCGGCCCCTTTCCCGCTCGCGCGAACACCGAGCTTTACTGCAGACGCAAACTGTTTTTGCAAAAAAATTTTATTGTCGTTATACGTCTTCCACTCACGTGACTCGTGCAAGCGTGCCAGGCAAAAAGAAAGGAAGGAAAACGCGAAGCATTTGCCAGCCGATAACTCGTTAAAAGTGATATTGTTACTCCACTCATCAACGCGAGTAATTAATCAGCTAATAGCTTTGACTTTATTTTCGCTCTCTCGGCAACAAAAAAAAGTAATTTCTTTTTTTTTCGTGCACGCGCGGAATACACAAACCGCGGCTTAATTATTAATAATACGCCAGAAACAGATGGAAAAATCGTTCTTTTCTTCCAGCTTCACCGAGTGTTTTTATACGCCGCATGAAAACAAAGGCTTTCGCTCGACGAGAGAGCCCTTCGCATTGTTTATTTATCCTCACTGGCGTATACGTACGACTTCGTTAATATTTTTTTTTACGAGACTACACCGGCAACACAAAGAGCATACATCGGCTTGAGGTAAGGAGGCAAAAAGGGCGCATTTCTTTTTGATGATGTTACGTTTTGTAAAGCCGCGATCGATTGGTGAGCCATCGAAGCTAATGAAATCCTAAATTGCCTGAGCGCAAGTTTCGTTTGCTCGGTGTTCTCGTGTTACGCGCACATACACACAGTTAGCCTCTTGTGTATCCGCGAGAGAGTGAGAGAGCTTTGTGTCGAGCTTTGTTTGCTCGCGCAGCACTGCGTGTATACGTGAAACCCAGTACACACACACACACGCGCGCGCGCACGCACACACACACATACACACATATATATATTATTGAAATTGATGATTGGAGATGCACGACTCATTAGGCTACTACGAGCATATACTAGAAGCCTACATGATTCACTCTCTGGTGGTAATCAAACTCTGCATGACTGAGACCAAATTAATTAGCTTGCGAAAGCAACATTCCAATGTTAAATGTTCTGAAAAGGGGGGTTCGAAGCTGAAATTCGCGATAGCCAATGAGATAGAGAATATTTTGATGAAAATTCAAAATATAGAGGCTTGTTTTTACTGATGAATAATGGAAAAATTTGGTTCTGCGTCTAATCAGCTTTAGCTGTTTTTAAGAAAGAAAACATGTAAATACGTTATTCTCGTTATTCGGATAAGCTGCTGTTAGGTGCATTAAGTAATCTGTAACATTAATGCATAGTACAGAGATTCTTAATTATAAACACTGCTAAGCGGCTTTTTGAAAAAAGCAAAGCCCCTACTTATCGTCGTGAAGCTCTTGTCTTTGAAAAATAAATCACTGACGTTTCGAAGCGAATCCACATAAATTTTGAAGCCGCTACTAACGGACAGTAGACCGCGTCTCATTAACAATTTCCCCGTATAAAGCCAGCGTGGAAAATTCCCGTCGCGCAATCAGCCTGCAGAACAAAATATCGATCGTTTCGCGCGGCTCCGCCGGGCGCAAAAACACAGCCAAACATTTGTAAATTTAACGTGCACGCGCGCGCAAAACCGCTTACTCGCATTAATAATTGATAAGCTAAAAGGACCATGCCTCATCCCTGTTCCTTGGAAGTCTAGCCAACAGCAGACAAGCGGCGGCCGCCGCCGCCGTCGCGGTAATGGTTACCTGACCCGCATGGATTAGCAACGTTAAAGACGGCTTCGCATCTCTCTCTCTCTCTCTCTCGCAATCCCCTTTCGCTACTCTCTCATGTTTGCGTGATGTAGCTCGAGCTTAGCAGCAACTTGCCTTACCCTCAACTATCCCGCATGAATATTCGTTTTCTCACTCACTCGCCAGCAAAAGCATAAGAGGATTTATCTGGCAAGCGCTAACTGATATTATTTCCTAATGGGTTTCGCGATTCTTTCAACGCAGCTGCTGTGGTTGTTCTGTTAATTTCGCTCGCTAAGAGTTTGTTGTTAAACTAATGGAAATGAGAAAGTCGATTTCTAGAGCGAGTGGAGACACAAGAAGATGATTATAAATATACAGCGCTTTTGCTATTTAATATGATGGGCTTATTTACATTTACATCTCATCTTGTGACTGACATCGCGGCTTATTTTATTTATTCGCAAGACTCTTTAAAAATGGAATAGAAGTTGAAATTCATTTTCCGCTGGCTTCTATATAAAATCAAATAAATAATCCGAAATTGCATTAAAATTAACGTCTGAAGATTTAAAAAAGTGGATTTTATTCCATTTCAATATATAGGTTAGTAAATTCAATAAATTAATTGTTTTGAATTGTTAGCAAACGTAGTTTCACTAGAAATCAATGTTTTCCGAGACTTTTCAATACATTGCAATATATTTTCCATTATCGTGCATTCGAAATTAAATTGAATAATTTCATTTACATTGGGGTCTTCTATCTTTGCAATATAAAATTTTGTAACGCGATTATTTCACATTGAAATGAATTAATTTTGATTACCAAGAATAAAACTCTGTTTGAAATAAATTTTTCAAACCCCATCCTGCTACCGTTGAAATCATACGTCACATCAAATCCTCCTATCAAACACACCCTAAACTATCTCGAGTAGTAGCAGCAGTAATCCGCTCCTAAAACTCAATTTCTCTTAATGTTATATATCATTAATGTAGAGACGAGATCAACTTGGAAGAGTTACGTGCAAGTGAAAAACTCCAGCTGATTATGGTCGACTACCACGCTTTGCCAGAGGAGGACGTGCAACTAGCAGATAGCGTGATTGAAGTAATTGATCATCGACCACAAGATGCCTCCTGGCCATGGTCAGGTCGACGGCTTTGTCTTCAACTGGTCGGCAGCTGTGCTACCCTCGTTGCTCAACAGATACTGCAACGTTGCCCGGATATTCTCACTGAGCTTGCTTGTCTGCTCAAGGGTGAGTGCATCTTATTTGTCTGTCTAGTGTTTATCTGCTTGTATGAACCCTTTGATCTTTGTAATTGTGATCTCCCGATATGATTATTTGGCTTTGTGCCCTTCTGCAGTTGGCGTAATTTAATTTTGATGACAGCTTGTTGTTGCTACGAGATGGGCATCTTTAATTATGCCTTCGACATTCTATTAAATTTTGTTAGAAAGATAATTCGATAAAATAAAGTTTTCAATGTAAATGGAGCTTTTGGTTTCAACACTTTTATCTTGAATAACGATACAAAAGTAAATTATTTTACATAGAAGAATTTTATTTGATTTAATAATTGCAATCTTGCTGCAGCAACGAAACTTTGTAAGAAGAAATTTTCTCCAACAATATGATTTTCTCAAATAAAAATATCGAAAAACAACAATTTTTATAAAATGCATACTTATAGTATTTTCTGTTAGAGATACAGCTAGAAGAGATCTAAAACCCAATCAATATCTCTGGCGACACTCGCAATCAATTTTTCAAGAGCAGCATTCACATGTTTACTCAGCTCGGTGTTCATTGGATTAATTTCGTTATCTTGCGACAGATAACGAGCTTCGACATCGCTGTTTCGAACTTTTCCCCTTTGTAGTATACACCTCGTGTATGGCGTGTACAATTTTTTTTCTTTTCCTATATGTAGACCCACCCCTACATGCTACTCGCTTTGTCTCGGTTGAAAAATAGCGGTGAGAGAGGGTGGCACGAGAGAGAGAGAGAGAGAGAGAGAGACAAAGGGGTAAGGGGGAAAGAGAGAGAGAGAGAGAGAGAGCTGAAGAATGTTTTAGCTAGAAGTGTTTTATGTAGGGGAAGATGTTAAGTTCGTCGGTGGATTTTCTTGTGGGATTATGTTCGGTTGAGACGATGGGATTTTGTAAGTTTGCAAGCCTGAGATTTATCATGCGTTCCTTTCCTTTTTTCGTAATCTATTGACGGTTTGTCAAGGTCGAATGACTTATCCGTGAAAGTTGTGTCTTCGGAAAATAGACGCTATTAGTTTACTTTAATATTGTCATATTTTGCTTCTTATTCTTATTTGATAATAGTGTTAAATACCATCGTCTCTTAATATACATTTTTCAGTAAAGATCTATTCTCATCCAAACAATATCATCCTCGTGAGCAAGTTGTTCTCGTTCATTTTATAAATATCTAGTAATAAAGAGTTTTCCTTCCGTAAATTAAGTTACAAACTTTAATCATGTTTTCCAAAGTGAAATTTAATTCTGTTTGTCTCTGGCCGAGCGAATCCCTTGTAGCTTTTCTCCTGGTAAGTCTCATCTTGGAAAAGACAATACCATCCTGACGAATGATAAATCCCTGTCTTCCACTCAATCCTACCGACTGACGATTATCTTTTTTTCCTCCTACAATCGCAATGTCATGTATGGGATACACATATTTATACACACATACTAATCCAATGAATTAATGTATGTTTTTTATTGACCTTTCCTCATAAGATCGATTTATTTCACATCTATGAAGACTTCGTCCAGTTTTTCTTTCAATCTGTAACAAAAGAAAGAGAAAGAGAGAGTAAAGTAATTTCTAACGAAACTGTCACGTTTTACAATTTGAACTTATCCTAAGTTATTTTAAAGCTTTCACCTAAAAACTTTTAAATTACCGTTGCCTCTCTCTCTTCCTTGCGTAAAACGCCGTTTAAACTTAGTATTAAAGCCCAAGGTTCACTCTCTTTTCCCTGCCGTTCTGTTTTCGTTTTCCTCCCCCAATCTCATTTTTCACCGTATGACTTTGCTTTCTTTCGTTATTACTTTAGCGACTTTTCACTTCTCACTCTCGCTTTCTTTCCCCGCTGCTTATTCTCATTGGCACATTTTTTAAATTATGTTCTTCATTAGACGGAAAGTTATACACAGCGTACATATAATCATTTGTTATTATTAAATTAACTTCATTCGTTTTTTTTCTTTGTGCTATTGTAAAAACTTTTTATAAAAAAACATAGATTGAATTTTTCAGATTTCTTCGCTGAAAAGCCATGCAGAATTTTTAACGTTTTACTTTCTTATATTTTTTATATACTGTTTCATTCGTGGGATAGACAGAGAGAATAAACCTTCCATTTCACTGATTAAGTTGTTGGAAAAGACGCATAACCTTTCGAGATGTTTTTCATAAGATTTTGCTGGATATCAGATCATTGAAAAATATTTCCAAGAATTCAATGTTATATTTCGCAAATTCGTAGAAATTGAAATTCTTGCTTATATTTATACTTCTATTTTTTTAATGCTTTTTCATTGAAACACAAAAGTTTCAAATCAACTTTCCGTCATAATGAAATTTCTATGTAACTTAGAAAGAGATCAATCAGTGCAATTTGCATCCTCATTGATTCATGAAACATCATACTGTCGAACAGGCGGCCTTTCTCGCAGTGCATTTTTATCACACTGTTGGTAATGCTAAACCTTACATGATTCCTCATCCTTCAAACTAATTGATAAATACTTTGTGAAGTTCTGCCTTGTATTTTCCCAGTTTTCAAAATTGCTACCGACCCGTCGAGCATAGTTCTCGTTACTAATTATTCGCAGTAAACCAATTTTTCCACACATTTCCACGGCATATCTCGCAGTTTATCCAGCAATTACATCAATAACGTTTGACCGTCCGACCTACTTTCCGCTTTCTTGTTCCAATCCAATCCGACCCATCCCCGATATATTACTCGGAATTTCTTTCGTTCTTACTTTTCAACTTTGTGTACATTTTTGAAAATTGTATTTTTGCTACCTTGATCTGGTGACATTTTGTTGTAAAAAAATAAGATTTAAAAAAAAAATGTCCACCTTGACTTGTTTGTCACATCTATTTACAGAATGCGTCTGCGGCGTCGAATGAGTCGTTATATTTCCAAAAAAGGGGTAGGATCAAATATTCGCGTGGCACTGACGGCTTTACAAAGCTTTTGGATACGACCACTGATACTTTTGTAAACATTATATTAGCCTTCTCTCTCTCTCTCTCTCTCTCTCTCTCTCTCTCTCTCTCTCTCTCTCTCTCTCTCTCTGTCTGTCTCTCTCTTTCTCTCCATTTGGCTTTTTGGTGCGTCGATGATAGTGCAGGCGTCAGCACTGGAGGTTTTCATATCGTCGTGTTTGAATTATCCCAGCTGGTGTGCGCGCTGATAAGTAAACACACGCGGGGTTTTTTCTGGCATCACGGGAATTGTGCGATAACTGAAGTTTTTTTATTTATTTTACAGCTAATATTGTTATAGATTTTGCTAATAATTGAAGCGTAATTATTATTCGTTAATGCTATATTGTTTACACGTTCGTTATTTGATTGCGTTGAGAATAGTATTCGCACTGTATTTGTAAAATTATGTTACTTGATCCGATTTATGAATATACGTATTTGCAGTTCACCGCAACGTCAATTATAAATATAAAAAATTAAATATATATATTTCTGGTACTGCACCTGCAAGCTATTTTTTTAACGTTTCGTCTTGACTAATGCGTAAACTACACATGATGAATCGAATTTTCAACGCAAATCGATGTAATCATCGCATTTTCAAAATTCCGTCTCGATCAATGTTTAATGGGCTTTTATATACCCATGAGAATATCTCGCGCTCACTGTCTCTGTATCCTTTTTAAATACATTATTTATACGGCTTTGTGAAATTTATCTCTATCTTTTTTCCATTTCGTCCATCTTTCTCTCTCGTCTATGCACGTTATTTTTCTGGGCTTTGTTTCGGTTGGAAAAGGGCGCGTTTTGTATCAGCTCTTTTTTTTCACACCGTGCATGAATTATCAATTTCGTTTCCTCCGTAGTAGAATAAAGAAAGAGAGTGAGAGTGAGAGAGAGAGAGATATAAAGAGAGAAGTGGATAAAAAAATACACAAGGGGCTTTGTGATCGAAGCGATAAAAGTCTTTCAACCCTGGGATTTCAACGCTGTTTACAACGCTTGCCTCTTTTATCTTTCGGAACGTGTCAGTAGTTTTCACAGAGTATCGAAAAGTCTTGCCTGGTTATCGCGGTAGACTTTACCATAATATTTTACCAAAGGAAAATAAATTGTCGAAAAAAATAATAATCGAAGGTTCGTTGCGCCAGACTATTTCACTGTCGTACTACTTGACATTCGATCACGAATCTCAATGGAAGTTTGCTGCGAGTATATCTCCGATATCAAGTAGCAGCAGCAGTCGCGGGCTCAAAAGGTAACCGATTCAAAATAAGCCGAACTGCTCATCTGCAACTCGAAGCTTCTGTCTCTGGCAGAGGCCATCAAGAGATGCGACGACAGCCTAGCGCATTCATCTTTTAAAGCATCCTCGTTGACTCCTCGAGATATATATATATATATATATATATATATATATATATATATATATATATATATATATATCAACACTCGCTCTCTCTGTCTTTCACTGTTGAAATTGGCGCGTTTGCAAGTATTGTTTTCTAGTATAATTGAGCGTGTACACAGTAGCTGGCTGTCAGCCGCAGAAGCTTTTCCTACGGGAGAGGGGGAGATGCTAGTGGTGATTGTGGCGCAGTGTGGTCCGAAAGTTGCTTTAGGGCGGCTCTCGACTGCGAACTTTCGGACCGACGTCGGTACACACAGTGTAAATGGACGTGGGATCCTCGTGTCGTCGCATTTGCGCGCCGCGCGTAGCAACGGCCCCGAGGGCCAAAAGCTTCGAGATCCCCGTGTTATGGCTTGCACACGCACACCCTAGCACACCGGCAAACGCCTCGCGGTCATTAAGGCTGCTCGCTTGCCCGCTGTTGCGACGGCCGCGCACGCTTGCGTTGGCGAACAAGCGTTGAGAAATTTTCGGCAATCAGCGCCCAGGCACGACTCGTTATCAATTGCACTGATAAGATTGCACTGCCAACGCAGTTGGAACAATGAGCTGCTTGGTGAGTGCATTTCAAAGTAATTAGGCTGTTTCGCAAACTTGATATTAAGTATGCGATATATACGAGAATTCGCGTTCGGGTAACATTGCGTAGATTCTGAGTGGCGCGATCTGACATTTAACCATGGTGCGATGATGAGCGAAAGCTGTCGCAATAAATCCATAATCGTATCTGTTAATTCCGTTAGTCCTGACGAATACAATGGATTAGTTAACAGCTGGTGAAAGTAGAAGTTGCAAATGTATCCCCGCGCGTCGAATCCTAAGTGTCTCTCTCGAACAATGCCTCACATGCAATTTAGTTGGACTGCCGTGGTACTGATTTTCAATAATTCAATTTCAAGTTCCGTCAATAGACAAACGTTTGTCCACTTGGAAGAGCTTGTCGACGATGACGAATGTACGAGAGGTCGCAAATCGAAAAAAGGAGCGAGAAAAGTTTGCAGGGCGCAAGTAATCCGGCGACTTACGTACGGCTAGAGATTGAGATGTAGAGCGCGACTGCACGCTCCGCCGCGTCGTTGACCTCGTTGGAGGGGTGTGCGTTACGGGCCAAGTCCGTCTTGCTGGCTCGCAAGCCGTGCACAGTATAGCGGCAGCGAGTAGCAACGACTCTGCGACAACCTAAGTGGCTTTTCGCGCGGACCTACTTAGGCCTGCTCTCCTACGGAGGGAGAAGGGGGGACGATGTGTCTTTTTTCTTCTCCCTTCACTGTTATTTCGACACGCAAATCGCATTTACAAGGTTAATTCTGTTGCGCGCTAACTCGCGCGCAAGGAAATGTACTGACGGAGCTGCGACGGCGAGTTGCTCGCGACTCTTTCGTGCGGCTAATTAAAGCTCCCGCGAATCGCCATTATCAAGATTCACGCGTCCGGTTTCATCGTCGTGCTACAGCGAAACGTATACGTAATTGACGGACCGCGAAGCAAGCCTACGATACGTAAAAGCAGCACGCCAGTTGTCGCCCGCAGTCAGCGATCGCATATACGCTCGCACGCAAACGAAACAATATTTCGCTTACGCTAATCCACGTGCGCGTTTTCCGCTAGCCGTCGATGATTTTGCTGCGTTCCCACACGGCAATGGTGCCGTGTCACATGGAACATTCTCAACGCGTAAGATTAGGAAGATTAGAACGTGAGACATTAATTATGCATCCGCAGGCCACATTGTTCGTTCAATCTTCATTAATTCATAAATTTGGATTCCGACTGCGATAGAAAAAGAATAAGCCAACCGCGTCTGCGTTTTTAGTAAAGTATTGGACTTTTGCTACCGAGGTAATTGCAGGTACCTTCGTGTATCGGCATGATCGGTGTGTTATCGGTTTGCATTTCGCCCATACGTGATACACTCCTGTTCTTACGCATCGAGATTTTCGCGAAACAATGCCAATAAGCGCTGCCGTTTTTATCTATATGCCGACCATTCGAAAGCTGATCCACCAGTTAGTCTCTCTCTCTCTCTCTCTCTCTCTCTCTTTCTATCTCTCGAACCGTTTGTCGGGCGATCGCGCGTGCACACCGAGGGAATTTCAATTGACCGAGCTCGGGTCGATTAGAGCTCACCGAAGCCTTAACGCTTTTTCCCTCCTCTTTCGAAGCCGCGGCGAACGCTGCTGAAAGCTGAGTGCGCGGGATTCGAGTCGCTTATTCTTTTAGTGCCTTTCACCGAGGCGACCGAGCTTAGCCACTTATTTGCGTGGGGCTACCTTTACTCTCCCTCGCGCGCGCGCTTTTGCGGGATTTCTTATCTTGCAGTTAACGAGGTTGCTGCGGGGAAGATCAGCTGATGGATTTCTCGCGGTACTTCACACTTTTACATAGTGTACGGATTTTAAATCAAACGTTGTTGTGTTTCAATCGCCCATTGCAACAACTTATATTTTTTATGAGATATGAGAAAAATAATTTCGTATTTCAATCGTCATGTACTATTGAAATCGGCGTTACGTTAACGCTGACTTAAGTTTGACTACATATATAAGCTTTTCTTTTTGCTCAATAGAAGGATATCTGAATTGACTCGAATGCAATAGAAATTTTTAAATAAAGTAAATATGAGTTCGTTTACTACAATAATTAAAGTGAATAATTAATATGGTTATTCAATTGTAGTTATTAGATATTGTACATTAATGCAATACGAGATATACTCTAAAAAGACTCGAATCAGCCAAACTTTGCTTGCGTGTATTCAACATTGTTGAGAGTTATCGCTATTATATCTATATATTTAGAATCGCAGAGTATATTGATCAAACATCAAAAGTACAAATATATTTCCACACATCGTTCATTAAAATCATGGAACAACCAAATTAACCTAGCACTTAACGGCGGGTCAATTATTCGATGAAAAAAAGAAAGTTACATGTTAGTTATCTCAACTAGACTCTTCAAACAATAGTTGCAGAAACTAATAGAGTAAAAAAGAAAAGTTGGACGAGACGGGAAATCGCTAGAAATAGAAAGAGAGAAAGAGAGAGAGAGAGAAAGAAAGGGATGAAAGCTAATAAAAGTTTTTTCGCTGTTCACAACCGCCATTAACAGGGCCAATCTTGGTGGACACGGTGAACTTGTCTCGCGAAGCAGCCCGAGCAACGCCACTGGACCACGAGATAATGGAACGACTCGAGCAGGCAACGACGGCGAGGACGACTGCGAGCGGAAGAAGCCTCGTGGAAAAGAACGAAGAGACGATGGACGAAAGGACTAGAGTCTATCGGGACATTCTGGCGGCCAAGACCGACATAAGCGAACTGACACCCGGAGACCTGCTAATTAGAGACATGAAAGTCGCCAATGGAATCCCGATACCTGGCTTTCCCATTCTCGTCAAGGTATAACAAACGACTGTCTCTGCTTCCCTCACTTTCGCGTCGAATTATAACGTGTATTCAATAGCCGGCGCGGGATGTAAATAAGTATCGCCTCGCGATACGTCGACCGACCGGGGATAATGAGTCGGAATAATCCGGGAAAGGCGCTTTCAGCTAGCGGCCACCGCTAATTTCGCGTTCTCGTGGTTATAGTGGAACGGCGTATGTATAACCAGAGTTATTTTATTATTCGTCCGCATGCGCGTGCCGTGAACAAAAGACACGGGAATTTCCATTTAATCGCGTGTTCGTACGTTCCGTTGAAATAATGCGCGAATTTTATTATTCTTTTTTTTTCCTCTCCCCTCCCCTTTGTTTGGAATTTCAAATAGGGATTCCGGGAACTTGTTACAGATTTTATGGCCAAATTTTCGAGCGAACGTACTTATTTATTGAATGTTGGATTATTGTAGAGCTGTATCGTAATATTTTTTTTTTATAATTTAACGTTTCAAATAATAGCATTCAACGCGTGCATACGCAGATTTTTCGAATTTCTATGTGAAAGGCATTCAATAATCAATGAATCTTGTTTATTAGGCATTTTTTTTTGTCTAGACTGACCTCGAGAGATGAAAATGATATCGATTCGACGTGCGATCGAGAAAGATGAGGAATCATTGGCCAATGAAGCTTCAAAGCGTTTAATAATATATCGACGTTGTAACACTGAATAATTTTGCAAATGGCATTGATTATGAACTTGATTATCGTAACGACTCGACAAATGAATTATTAAAATAATCTCTGATTGGTGTAATCTAGCGTTGAAAAACTAACGAAAAGTGTGTTGATAAGGTATATTATAAAAATTTAAGTAATTAAAAGAAACGAAAAAACCATCGATCTGCTACAAGTCTGAAATGAAAGACGCGGGGCGTCTAGAAAAGGAAAAAAATGTTGGAGAACCACGCCATAAAAATGCCGGTAAAAGCCAATAAAATACGCGAGGACGCAGACGGGGGAGAGACTTATCCACGGTGGTGTAACTACTAATAAATCCACTCAATCGAATCTCTCACAACCGAGCTGTTCGCTCTCGGCGGAAGCTTGGGGCATTAAATACTCGAGGCATGCAAGCAGCGCCAGGAGCATCTCCCTTCGATTCGATTTGGCTCTTCGTCTGCAGCGGAAAGACGCGTAATACAAAGTTTAGATCGCTTTCCTTATTTTCATCAAGAGCGTGTCGGGGTAATGATGTCAGGGGATGGTTCGCTTTCGTTCCAAGCCCCGGCGATGCCTCGACGTGACTGGATTGCCGATGACACTAGCTGTGCTTTATTCGCTCTTTCTCTGCCACTTTCGTTTCGCGAGGGAGAGGCAGGCACCGCCGGAGAAAAAAAAAGGAAAAGAGCGCACGTAGTTTTTTGCCTTTTTCGCAGTCGATTTTCTTCTCTGCAGTCCTGCCTCTCCTGCCTTCACTTTTTATTTGCCTGTATCCGTTCTCGTCTGGATCTATGTATATGTATCCTCGTCCGCTTCCCCTCTTCTATCTTTCTCTCTCTCTTTCTCTCTTTCTTTTTTATTGTTGTTAGTCCTCCTTTTTTTAGTAGCGCACGAGAGAGAAAGAGAGAGAGAGAGAGTCAATTCTTTCTCTTGCTAGCTGCTCTTTTGCGCTCGTGCTTTTTATTCCGACTCTTTACCATTGTTTCGCGGACTGACGGAAATTCTCAGTTTCATATTTTTCGTCCGAGCGCTTCATTTGCAATTTTTCGGACCAATCAATACCGCTATTCACTCGCACGACTCTTTTCTACATCAAAGGTACGATTCAGTTTACGTGCTTTGCGAAAACTGGTAATAGCTAATAATAATAAAAGATAATAATAATAATCATTCAGTGCATTGTCGCGTTATTTTAAGTGCAGAATAGATTTAGTTCCTTCTGATAATTTCCTTTCTACTGATTAGTTGTATTACTTGTAATTTTGAATTGAAATTCTTGTTCATAATTAATAAATTAAGTCTTTGAAAGTCATTTTGAAAAATTCATATGAACGTATAAATTTTCAGAGAGATATGCGATTTCAGATTTCATTCCTCGAATATAATTTTTTTCACCGTAGACAACATACATTTTAATTTTGTATATTTTTGTACTAACGTAGAATTTTTCTAGATCTCGGATCAGTTATTCAATTTGTAAGGTTGTCACGCTTCTTCACCTTCTTGGAATCTATTTAATTGGAAATTTGCTGTTGGTATTTTTTTCTTATTCTTTGTCACAGTCATTTGATAAAATGAAAAAAGTAATCAAGTACTAATTATAAAGTTTTTGTCCTAAGCTTCAAGTCAATAAAATTACTCATCAATTAAGATACTACTTTCTTCATTCTAAATTGCTACTAAGAAAAATAATTATAGGAAATAAAATATTTCTCCCATCGTTGTAAAAAAAATCTACAAATGCCACATTTTTTACCACGGACTCCTCCGATTTATTTTCTCCGGCAATGAATAAATCATATCAAAACTTGCGTAGTGTAAGAATCACTCAAACAAGAAAATAACTTCAAAAAATACCATCTCGAGGTTTATAACCCACACAATGTCTCATCTCGCCTCTTAACAAAAAAATCTAAAAAAATCCAAGGTGGTATGATAGTCTTATAATACGGATCTTCGAGATCGTACAACACACCCTCCTTTAAGTGGATTTCGCGCGCGACTCGTCGCAAATAGGTGCCTCCCCTCCTGTTCCTCTACTCTTCATGAATTTTTTAAGTCTTCTTCTTTTGCGTGCAGACACTTAAACGGCTCCATACACCGAGGCTCAATTAACATAAAAATGCTGGCGCAAGCGCATCCATTTCCCCATTCCTATCTCTCTCCCTCACTCGCAAAGATTCATCCTTATACCCTCGCTGCATTCTCTCTCTCTCTCTCTCTCTTTCTCTCTCTCTTCGCAGGCACTTTCGATCGATCGATTGACTACGTGTTAACATTCGCAAATGGAGCGTGAATCATCTTCGCATCACGCGCGCGTGGTAATTGAAAAACTTTGTGCTATGTTTCGACTTTTTTCCGCTTGGCCGAGCTCCTTTTTCTTTATCCGTCGTTGCATGCGGGCGGAGGCGCGTAAGTTGCTTTTTGGCCTTCGGATACCTTGCGTTTCATTCCTCGATTGCCACGCCAGAGCGAACTACTTGCGATTCATGACGGCGAATTGTTTGTCGATAGAGATGGATGATGTTTAACGTGGCACTTTTACGCCCTGCCGAGAGCTTCAAGTTTTGATACTAGACTGAGATACGCAATCGTGCGATCCGAGAGGAGGCGTTTTCGTATTGTTTTATTTTTTGCCGAAATCGAAAACGTGAATTGACTTTCCAGCGTTAGATTGGCTAGACTGCGGCGCGTAATATCTGTTATCGAAAACAATAAAGTAAAAATAAAAAATGTAAGTCCAGCAACTGTCCAACTGTCACTTGGCCGTCGAAACCGCGACGCGTAATTCTCGACGATTCTCTATCTGCACACAGGACTTTATGGAGTTGGAAGGGGCAATGGAAGCACTCGATGCGTTCTGCGTCTCACGCAACTATCGACTGGTCGTACTTATAGGTTTGGACCTGAAGGAGGACAAGGTGACGAGGGACATTGCCGTCTATTCGCTGCTTCCCGATCAAGCGACAGATAAAGTGAGTCTTACGTCTGGCATTTATTTCTTTCTCGCGTCGGAAATATTTCATTTTCGCGCAGCTCGCAGCAGCAGCAGAAACATATTACGCTTTTTCGGCAATTGTTTTCTCTCGAGAACGAGTTATCCACTGGATTTTATCATTACACAATGAGCTGAGTGTTAGCTAATAAAGTTATTTTTGCCGAAGAAACACAGTTGTGGTAAAATCTATATTTCACAACAGTGTAAAAGTCAAATGCATTTCGTACTTCATAATTTTACGAATATTAATTATTCAAAATTGGATGTCTGACTTTTTGGCTTGTTATTACTTCAAAATTGATGCGGTTAAACATTCAATTTCCACAATGAATAATATAATATAATAATGCACTCTGCTGGCTAAAATAAAGATGCAATATTCCAGTATCATTTGAATTGCGAATTATAATGAAAATTTAAATATTTTCCGCGCTGTCATTGTTACACCGAGAGTCGAGCAAGAAAAACGTTCCATAATGTATCGATTGTATGGATTTTTCAGTGAAGCGGCGCGTACCCGTCGTATTTTAATTTAACGCTTTTCAATCAATTAAAAGTCCAGCTGCAATATTGTCTGGAGCTAGGAACAAGAGAAGAGAGAGGAAGTTTGATTACATGCACAAATTAACCAATCGGAAAGTTCGATCGCGCGGCGGTGCTCGGAGCTCAATCTCAGGGGGGCGACTACTACTCGTTCGGCTCTTTACAATTCTTTGACTGAATTAACGATACGTCTATCAGGAAGCAATTTGACAACTCTTCTCCTTCAATTTCTTTTCTGTTGGAGCTTTTCTCTTCTCTTCTTTTCTTTCCAGCCAAACGTCCAAATCCGAAGAGAGGGAGAATGGAATGGCGCGAGTGCCGGAAATTAAAGTCAGGATGTTCCATATAAATGCACGGAAATGAAAGTTACGATTCTCTCTCTCTCTCTCTCTCTCACTCTTCGACGACTGGTGATGCACTGCCTCCTTGATTTCTCATTGTCGTGACTCCCTTCGTGCTTTGCAAGAGATAGAAGGGGGATGGGTGTTATGAGCCTTGGTGAAGTCCTTTGAATGAACTATTGCTTTATGCTCCCTTTGTAATTCGATTTTCGTATGCATACATCATACTACCTCTGCTTTTGCGACGCACCACACTCGTCGATACTATCTCCTCACCAGAGGAAATTAGAAACGTCTTCTAATTCCATAATTGCACCCTTGCTACATGTACACATTCTCTAATTGGCATGTTGACATTACTTTGTTACCAGAGTTAATCCGTTATTTTGATAAAAATAAAAAATGTCGATTTCACCTGGTTAGCAAACTAGTACTTGTACCACTCTAGTGTGATTCTGAAATACGAAAAATGATAATTTAATTTTTTCTCAATACTTTTCGACATACGAAAGCTACTCAAAGTGTAAAAACTTGAATTATTACGTAGCAAACAGTTTTCACGTGGAACGTAAATTTTAACGAAACACGCAACTTTACAAAGTTTCGATGTCCAAGTAAAACGTTATTTACAATGGTTATTCAACAGTGATATTGCAATAATTACAGCTTATATAACGCAATTTGGAAACATACATTCGGAAGCATAGTGCTGCCCGGCGCAAACTTGTAAACTCAGGTTTACAAGGTACATTGAAACAGCGTTGTCAGTTGGTCATATATCGCAAAGTACCTTCCGAAAAACTCTCTCACTCAGTCAGCCTAATAAAGCCAGAGTGACGCACGTACGTATATACGCAGAGCAACGCACTCACAGAGAGGCTAACGTTAACTTTCGGTCCAACTCTCTGCGGCAGCCCATTATCCCTGCTACCAGAATGTAATCTCGGCACCGAGCTCACGCCCCCCTCCCTCTCTTTCTGCAACTCCTGCTGCTGCGCAAAGTCCAGAGCAAACACGGCACTTCGCTTCTTAGATTCATCAAAATTAACTGTCGACTATACGGAACTTGCCGCGCGCGTACGTATATGCGTATGTACATATTCAAACTGTTGAGTGCGGGGTTTGTGCTTTCCAGCTAATCGAGGCGCTGCTCACCGCTGAAAGGCCCAGCAGTCTACAGCTGACGGAGTCGGGGCGCGTGCAACGTGGACAAAACTTACTGCTGCACTACCACCAGGCCAACGCGCGGGCTTCGCGCAAGCAAATACTGCCGATTATACAAAGCGCCGCTGCCGCCACTGACGAGTGCAAATAACGCGCACCGCTCCGTGGCCCTCCGCTGACATCAACGACGAACTAAACATCTGCTAATTATCCAGCCTTCCCTGCCTACCCGCCTGTTTTCAACTTGGTCAGCGGCTTTTTCTCTTTTCCCTGCTGTGCTTCTACGACCAATTCATTCCATTTTATATTCGCGTCAACAATAAACACACCTACGTGTTATTAGGAAGATCGACGCTGACTATTACTTTCATGCGTTCGTAGATATCAGTGCCCTCCGTTATTCGACATTCTCTTATGTAACACGAATGTCTTCGTCAACGTAACATAATACTTTCGATTGCCAGCTTTTAAGCGTAAATGCCCGCGTTCGCGTAAGATTTAATCGAACGTACGGAGGAATTTTGATTCGCGCACTCTGGCCCGAATGGAAGGAAGTGGCTGATGCGTGCTTAATATTGGCAAGTTGCTGTATTTGATGCATCGCGGTGCAGACACGACTGCAGACTCGGCGTTTCAAGCGCCAAGGACTGTCAGAATCTACTTCAATGACACTTTCGGCAAGCTCAACGTCGTTTTTCGACAATTCAGCGAACTCGACGAATGCGTCGCGACTGTGACCAGCCAACCGCAGATAATATGTCTCACGCCCGACGTAAAGTGGCGATGAGAATGAACATTCGAAAGTTAAAATGTTACTTTGATTGTTTATTTATTAGAAATTCCAGAATATGTTTTCCAAGATGCAACTGCACTACCATCTAAATAGTAATTCCATTAACACTATACGAACACGATAATGAAATTCAATTTAAACATTGCTGTATTTCGTTCGTTTACCAAAACGTAGGACTGATATTTCTTCAAGTTTTAAAACTATCGTCTTTTATAACATGAACCTAAAAATGAAAAAAGGTTTACTTCAGCTTGTCGCCATTACAACGCCTCAATCTCGTAAAGTTAAGCGATTTATGATCAAGTTTACAAATCCATTACATAATAGCACCTAACCCCGGCCGTGAAACGAGCTGAATTAGCACCGTTATTAAAATATCGCTGAGCTGGGCATACTTTCACCATTGGCTCTTCAAGAATAAGCTGCCTATTTACAATCGCCATGACACGATGGCAAGTATAGAGCTGTCCGCGACGACTTCAGCTATCTTATTTTTCTACCTACTTGACACACTCACGGTTGTTGAGCAGTTGCATTCCCGTCTAGTATTTTCAGTCGATTAAGTTTTAAAAATTGAACAGATTAATATTACAGATTAAACTGACAATTCTACTCCAAAATTCAGCAAGAAAATTTAACAAGAGCGCAATATCTTTAATTTAAGTATTTTGCTAATTTTCGATTTCTTTCTCGTTCAACTAATTACCAACTGCTTAATGTTTTGACATGCGAATAATGAATTTGCACACTGAATTATCGCAGCTGGTATGATTATTGACTCTTCAAATCTGTCTGTAAAGTTAGTGTACCTGAGTTGAGATTAATCGCGAAATGCAAATCACAGTTCTACGCGCCTATGAAATTGTATTAAACGTACTAAAATGAAATATTCATATATTTTAAATTCAAATGGTAGAACGTAGATACGTACTATGACCGCGTATGCTTTGCGCAATAAATTAGATTCGATAAAACATGTCATATATTATGACAACGATGGACATTCATAAATACATTTATATTCTATATCTCATCATTTTCCAATATCAATAAATTCGATCGAATGAAAATAATAGAGATACTATCTATTTATATTATATTACTCTGAATGATGATTTAGTTGCAGTACTTGAAAAATATCACGTTGCAAGGTATTGTTTTTACGCGGCAGATATCTTTGTAAACGTCTTTAACTATCTTAGCGATAATTATATTGTTATGGGCTCCTCATAAATTTACATCACTTTTGAAATTTATTGCCTGTGCTCAAATAATCTGTTAACTTGACCAACGCATGAAAACTTCTACAAAATCCATTAAATGTTTCGCGACTGCGAATGAATAAATAATTATTTATCAAGGGTCGCAATCGCGAATCAATAGGCGAAGAGTTAATAAATTGAGAGTCACAGGACATTATATGAGATAAGTTCAGTCTAAATTTCAAAAAATATGACCGTAAATTTCCCAAACTACAAAATGTTTTCTGTTTGATCACGTTTTTCAGCATAACAATCGATTAAAAGCAGAGAAATGATTTTTTTCAAATTGAAAGGACAATTTTAAGATATTGTATAATTAAAGCCACATAAATCTTTATCTCGTAAATCACGAAAATGTTTATAGATAATTACAAGAACGAAATTATAAAATTTAAAAGCCAAACATTAAAAATTTTTATGTTAAGACAAAAATATTGTAAATGGTGCAAGTAGTGATTTACGTGTTGAATGTTTTAACTACCTTATATTTGTACTCTCTTGAACAAAAACAAAACAAATTTTTAAGTTTTTGTATCTGTTCGAGTTATTGTTTACTTTATTTGTTTGTAAGAAGTTCTACATTCTTGAGCTCAAACGTTCATGGTTCAGTTTACGTTTTGTTGTTTTTAAGAATTACACATTCTTGAGCTCAAACGTTCACGGTTCAGTTCGTAGTGTAAATACTGAATTTCAAAAAATTGACGTAGATTTTTATTGAAACCTATATATTTACAACTTTCTATGGAATTTTTATTTATAAAAATGTTACGCTTATATATCTCGCTTAAAAAATATGGTTTTCTCAACAAAAGTACTTGATAATTGAAAAACGAGTTCTGAATGTAATTGAATATAAGTACAATTTATTTATGAACTTATGTTGGTATATACATTTTACATCGATTTTTGCTTGCAGACATATTTGAAGAATATGTTTGTGTAGGAGTCATACTCATTGCTAAAGGTCAAATAGAGGGTCTCATCTATAAACATAGTCGTGTTTCAATTTATTGCACTACTTTTAGTTTAATTATTAATTAATTAATTATTTGATTCAATTAATTATTCAGTTATTTAACTTTATTATTGAAATTTCAAATAACAAGATTAAATTAACTATTTCGAAGGATTCAAGTCAGCATTGTTTGATAAATACTATCAACAAAAATATTTTTTTGTAGTTCTCAAAAATTGAAAAATTATGGCATACATGGCTACGTTCTTACTTGTTTTGTACAGATCATTTAATGGATATTTAAAATCACATATAAGGTTTTCATTCGTTTCAATTGAATGAAACGAAAATTGTTAATAGATTAGTTCAGCATTTTGAGAACAATTTTTATTGTTCTTTATTATAAGCAGTATTGATGATTATTTCACATATTTAATACAGTTCCTAATCACACACTAGAAATTTGAAAATAATTGTAGTCATGTAAAAAATCTGCTAGTTACTCTAGAGAAGGTTGTGAAATTAATTTTGTCATTACAAATGCAATAGATTTGAATTTGTTTAATAAAATATCAGATTCAGGTTGACATTTATCAACTTACTATTGTGAAATAATTATATGCCCCTATATATACTAGCAATACTAGCAATAACTTTTCTGGATCTGACTACAGTGTTTAATATCTTCAATTATGGAATTAGAGGACGTACTTACAATATTCTTGAAAAATACTTAAGTAATAGAAAACAAAGAATAAAAATAGATATTAATTATAGGTCTTATTATAGCTTATACTCTAAATATAGGTGTTCCATAAAGTACAATATTAGGACCTTCACTGATCATCATTTATATTAACGATATGCTAAATACCATGTCTGTAATTTGCCAGTTAATACCGGAGAATGTTCAGTATGTTAAAAAAGTGCTACCTAAAAATACCATAGGGATAGCTTTTTTACGCAAAAATATTGAACATTTATGTAATTTAAACTTGAACTATTGAATCAAATAAAAAATTTTATGACATAAAAATATCTTAGAATCGATCAAAAAATACCCTAACCTTTTTTCAGAATACAAAAGAAATGTTTAAGAAAATTTTATTTTTTTTATATTTAGGAAACCAAAAACTGTTTTTAAACCTTTTTAAAAAATTGCAGAATAACCTTTGAAAAATTCTATAATATTTTTGTTCTTAGAAAATTTGTGCTACATTCAATAGTTTCTAAGAAAAAAATTAGATTAGGTTTTTGTAGAATGTTCACGTTCTGACTGCCATATTGTAGAAAGGACTGGTTCAATGATTTAATAAAAATACTTTCTACCGCAATCATCTCCTATTATAATTACAACACGAATTCTTTGCGGTAACATTGCAGAAAAATATCCAACAAAAAAATTTTATCGAAAATTTTCAAGATTTTCATGTTTAAATCAGCCATGTTGTTTTCCTTTATACCTAATTGGAAATTGGAGCCTGGATTCTGAAATAGCATAAAATTCTACGTCGAAATATCTGAAAATAAAACTTTTTCAACGCTGACAACATAAAAAATAATGGGTTAAATTAATGGATTAAAAATGTACGATTATTAGTAAATTATGTCGGAAACTCTCATTATTATACATCAAGAAAAATAAATCAAACTTTTGAGAGTCAAGAAACGCTCTATTTGCCGATCGACAGAACGTCTCATCGTATGAACTGTTGTTGTTTCTTATTATTATATTTATTTTTCTTGATGTACGATTATTATTTTGTAATATTGTATACGTTACTTTGGTTTAATGAGTAAATAAGAAAACTCCAATAGCCAAGAAAAACAATGTATAAGAGAAATCTGGAAATTTCATTAAGAGAATGGTGCAAAGCAGACAAAGTCATCGGTTCTGTGCCAACGAGAAAAGAAAAGTTAGAAAATTGAGTCGCAATAAGAGATAACTCGCAATTAATTGTAGTAACTTATCAATTACGACTACAGAAGTAAAGGTAAAGCTGCCTCAGCAGTAATTGAAAGAATTGCAAGATGAATTGTTGGTGTAGAGCAAAATTCATTCACAGCTGAAAAAGATAGGTCTAATCCAGCATATGAAATGAGCGAGGCTGTTAATTAAAGAACAATGCGACAAAAAATTCACTAGAACGTGAGGATTTTTGGAAGACGATAATAATATTCAAGAAAAGCGTATCTTAATGATGAAAATAACCAGTATAAAAACAACACCAAGCCGCCAACGAACATCAACCACTGAACAAAGAGCTGGCTAAGTTGTTTGCTTGATTCAAACAGGACGTACGGCAGTAAGACCTGGCCAAGGTTACACAAAAACAGGTGTCCCAAGAATAAACTGGTCGAAGTTTACAAAACATGCAATGACAGAGGAACAGCCCAAATCAGAAATTTTAGCAAAACACCGAAGATTTTTTGAAGATATCAATTATATATTAGAAAAAGAACTATATTCACCAGTGCTGTACGATACCGTAATAACGTCGAATTTGACGAATTTGTCAAAGAACAAAGTAGCAACACTAGCTACTAAACCAACCAAGTCATTTGCTTAATTCAAATGAATGTACCGCAGTAAAAAATGCTCGAAATTAGCAGAACATGTAATGAAAGCAAGACAGCCCAAGACGAACATTAAATTTCAGCAGAGCATGGGCGATTTTTTGATGAGCAATGTTAAGACAGCAGCAAAACAACGAACAGTGAGCGGACTCACGAGCAGAGCCATTACTGAGTTGCTTGCTCGGTTCACACAGAGCGACCATTAACAGGAACCATCAAGGTCACCAGTCATTAATGCTAACAAATTATCAAGGTATGCACAGCAGAGTGAATCACAATACCAGTTAACATTACGAAACAATTATTAAATTATGTATAACATACAAAAGTTTTATGTAACTACGTGGGTCAATTGGGAGTATAAAGACTTCGGTGGTTAAAAGAATAGTGAAATTTCATCAGTAATTTTAAAAACACTAGAAAATCCTTAATATATAAGGGTATCAAAGTACTTAGCTTCACACTTCGTCACATGGATGTTAACCCCGTCACCTCTAATATATATACCTACATTCTTCTATAACACCTCGAAGTGATCGTAATGACCAAGTAACGACGGATGAAAAATGTAGCTATATATCATTGAGTCCTTGCATTACTGATATTGAATAAATAATTCACATTAATTATTGAATGTATTTACAATGATTATAAATACATTAACTTCTTCCATGTTTGACTATGCTTTAATGTTTTTTGTCTCAGATCAGGAGTGGGTACATATAAGTGGGAATCACATGTTATTTAAGAATCACGGTGTGTCATTGATTACTTTTTATGGATTTACTCTTTTATCTTTGCGAAAATATAGCTTAATTTATTATTGAAAAAATGAAGAGTAGAAATAATATTTTTATTTATATATTACAACTACATTTCTTTAAAATCAAAATATATATCTACAAGATAACAATTGTAAAGCTTCATCATAACTTTTGTAAATAACGGAGTAATTTATTGATAAATTTTTAAAGGTGTTGAGGGGCTTGTATGTGTATGTGCACTCTGTAGAATCGGCGCATGCGCCTGAGATCGTCTCTCCGTTTTGAGCGTGTCCGTGCATGTCCTACGCGGCCTTCTTTCAAATGAGAAGCAACTCGTATTCTTTTCTCGTTTAATAACGTACCTTTTCTTGTTGATATCTTCTCCTCTTATTTTTACCTGACCAATATGTATTACCCTCCATCAAAAGGATTATACAAGACATCTTGAAAGAGTTTAAATAATCACTTTGATTACAAATTTATATTCTGAATAAAAAAGCATACATTTAGTAAATAAACAAGATTGCCAGAGAGTGCAAGACAAAGTCACACCAGCTTAAGCTACGTGAAAAGAGATTCAGACAGCTGCTCCTGTAACATAGAGAAATACAGATTGGACTGAATGTGAGCTGTGAGCATACCTCAAAGTGCATCCCCACAAACAGATCACACAGTCAGCACGTGGAAGCGTCCTTTCATGAGAGCCTGAGCGTATTGAAGAGCTACCCTTTGTTGCATAATTTACACACTTGCTTAAGCTTTTGACACCTTACCAAATTTACCAACTTACCAAATCGATTTGTAGTTTAAGAATGAATATTAGATTAAATAAAAAGTAAGAAGCTATATGAATGCTTTTTCGCTTCTTTTATTTTTATTTTGGTATATTATACATATACCGAAATATATTATACATATTTCGGTAGATATTAACAGTTGTAATTACTGCATTCGTATTAAATTCAATAAACTGTCTTCACTTTCCGTACTATCATTTTTTTAAGAAAGAAGAATAAGAAGGAGGACTAGAAATTTATCAGCGTGCGTGCAACTTAATGTTTCGCGAATAATAATATAATCTGATGAGAATTAATTAATAAAAAACAATTAACATTTTTTTTTAATTAATAAAAAAACAATTAAAAATTTTTTTATTGCTTAAATTTCTCGAATGCTCTATCTTTAGCAGCTAATTGAAATAATAATCTACATTCAATATGGCCACCTCCAAGAGCCACAATGGTTGCGTCCTAAATTTAGCTCTCACCCCCCTTACTCCAGCCTGCAAAGTGTAATGGACAATGAAAAAAAATACCATTCAAAACATCTCCAATTGAACCCAACCCTCCAAAAATGCTCATTATTTTAATTGAACCCCTTCAGTTGTCCCAAAAAAAATTAAAAACTACGATCATTTTTTCGTTTTTTGCAACTGCGATATTTTTAGTAATACTTAATATTTTTGATCAAATTGATGAATCAAATTCTTTCATCTGAAAAACAGTCGACGGAAAGAAAGCTTGAAAATGTTTAATGGTATTATTCAAGTCACCTACTTCAAACTAAATTCTAGTTTATATGTGGTCAACTTTTCAAGGCAACGATGAATTAAATAAGTGTCAATGAAAAATTATCACGAAAAGCTTATTTGGTAAACAAATTTTTCTTCTGCTAAATTAACAGTCAACAAAAATGTAGTCCAACACAATTATTTAAGTGTATTAAAAATGGTATGCAACCGATAGTTCAAAGACATTATTAACTATGTAACAAAGAATGATTTCAACCGTAGTATGAGCTATATCGTTAAAAAAACTATACTTTAGTTTGTAAATAGATTGAATATTTTCAAAACAAGAAGTTTTTGTAAAATATTTATAATCAAAACTTACGAAATAAAGTTAAACAATAACTACATTGCAACTTGTCAAGGATTATCGTGACAATATACTTTCACTACAGTTTTACATTTTTTCCAGCTAGACTGTTATTAAATTATCATTTGATAAGTGCTATTAACAACATACAGATTTTTAGATTAGTTACAAATTTTATATTTAATACTTATGATACAGTTGCAGTTTTTCATAAAGAGAATGATGTACTAATATATTGTATAAAAGAGTATGATATAAGTTAGTACATTTCATTGTAGGTTAAATTATTAATATTTTGTATATTTTTAATATATCTTGCAATGAATAAAAGTACATCGATGTTTATGAAAAAAATGGGTGAAAATTCTATTTATATTCATCAATGAATATCGATAGATGTGGTGTATTTGAAACATCATGATTTGTTCATCGTACACACTATTAGAATCTCAAAATGATCGTGTAAAAGATACAGATAATGTAATCAATAACAAAAAAATAAAAAGAAAGATCACGCGGAGTACGCTAAATTACACTAGTTTTTAAAAAGAGAAATCTGGCTAAACATACGTTTAGTACGTTTATTTGCTGTTTCATAAACATCAAATAACTAATAGTACGATAACTAACCATACATAGTATAACGTTCACTGTTTGAATCATCAATTAGTTAAATTAATGCATGGCCAAATGAACTAAGGTAATTTAAATCAATTTTACTATTCTATTATTATTTATTTGGTATCTTTATTAACATCCATGAACACATAATACAATACATTCTATGAGTACGCAATTAGTTCGCAATCAAATTGTCAATCGATTAATACGAAGTGATCACAAATAATCACCAGTTTGAGAAATATATAATTGAACATTCTATTGAATGTATTAATCTAGATAAGAGTTTAATAATCTTATATTTGTACGAGCACACGGATGCGTTTCAGCGGGGAGCGAATTTTGGCGGTGTTCATCATCTAGGCTTTCTTCATGTTGCTCTCCTTGAACCACAGAACAAAAGCAGGTGATGAATCAAGGTGAAAAGTGTTGTCAGCGCAACGAATCACAGACGTGAAAGCGAGCACGTCGCTGTCAGATATGAAAAAAACCTTTTTAATTATTTCGATTTGATGCAAAGTACGTGATTTAATAGCCGTCAGATATGCTAATCTTAGACATATGGTCGTGAGCGTCTTTCTTTCGCATTTAATTATTTGTTGCGGTATAATACTTTCGAGTGAAACGATAAAATGGTAAAAATGCGTAGATTAAAGACTTTAATGTTATTTATTATCTTTGACTTGCTAGCTCATTATTCTTCTAACTATGAAAAGATTTTTCCTCAAACGTGACAAATCGTAAATAAAAAAGTGTTAAATGGCTTTTCGTTATTGGTGTTGTCCAAACACGATTACTTTCACTCAAAGCAATAGCTCATTTACGTTGGGCAATTTCACTAAATGAACCTCTTGAAATTTTACTCGTGTTTGGTCGTAATGGTTTATTCCAAATCATGCAGTCTGGTATATTACATTAAATAAGTTTGTTATCATTTTAAATGATAAGTATATGATACACGACATCGTACTAATTATCGTATTTTTTCAAAAACAGATTCAATAAGCATGTTTTTCAAATTTTTTCTTTTTTCTTTAATTCATGTGTAATAATTTTGTACTTCAAAGAACGACTTCAGTACTAAGAGTAGAAACGATAACATGATTTATTGTGAGATTTACGTTAACCAATTGATTGTCTTTGTAATAATATTCTTAATAACTAATTCTTTCATGAATCTTTAGGGATGTTTCAACTTACTTTGTTGTTAGTAAAGCAAGTAAGAAATTTTGCTATCTTGATTATTGTTGTGTAACATCCGTATTTTACAATATTTTGATGTTAAAGCCAAGCATCGTAATTTTTTTTTCGTTCTAGTAAGTTTTTCATTTTTCAAAACTAGATAATAAAATCCAACACTATTAATATTCTATTGATTTTTTAACATAAAATACACCATAAATATTTCTGTAGCTTGGTATTTATGGCTATATAAATACTTAATATTTTCTATAAATCGTTCTTTATTACATGAATCAAGTACAGTTTGCCGTGGTTCAGCTGCGATCAAATTGCTTGGATTCACAAGGTAAGTTATTTTCAACAAGTTTTAAAACAGTAGATTTACTTTTTGAATTAGGTTAAAATTATTTCCAGAGTATTCAAGTAAACTAATTATTAAAGTTATAATTATATTATTACATAATAATCAGTACATTTCTATATTTTGTAACTATAACAGTTTAAAATTGCTTAAAATACTTTTAAATATCACAATATTTATTTCTAAACGTAATTATGAATTCCTACGAAAATTAGTATCTAATTCCTAACATTACAGTACGGTGAAGCACCCGTCGTTTCCACATAATACGATACTTTTTGCCGATAAATCCATAATTCGGCATTTATTCCCATTTCAACACAGTTGGTCACATTGCAACGTACGTTTAAAATTCGAGAAGTTTGCAATTGATTAGTTCCCAAAGACCAAGGATGTGCCCAAAATCTACATTTCTTCTCCCTGTCTTGGATCACCGTTTCAAGAAAGAGGTTGAAAGCTCTATTGTGGTGACAAGATCCATTTTCGATTACTGTAAAGAAAAATTATAACGAAGTTGCAAGACCTGATTTTTTAACTGCAGGTATTTCATAATATATGAAATAATTTTGTGAAATCATTACCATGCTCAAACATTTTAATAATGTTCAGAAATCTTGTAGGTTGAAAAAGTTCTTGGCATCCAGGTTGTATACTACCTCCATTAACGTAGAAATCGACATGTCCTAAATAGCAAATTTTGCCGTTAATACATTTATCAGTTCAGATTTAAATAAACAAATGAATAACCAAATGGTACAGCTGTAATAATACATTCTACGTAACAATGAACCAATCATAAAATTATCAATAACCTAATTGATCAAGTAATCCAAATCTTTCGTTTGGTGTCCTAGCTCCATCCGTATGAATAACATCAACCAATCGTGCATTAGAGCTTCTCATTCGTAAAGGTGAATTAACGTCACGAAAGCAAGGTTCAGCGGGATCAAGGCCAGTTACTCGATCGATGATAAAATTTTCTCTTTTCAACATTTCGGCAGCTTGTCCAACTACATGAGCACCGAGGCTGTGACCAATAAAATGCACACGTCGCCAAGAGCGTGGTGGTACGCCACTTACTTGACGGAGTTTCACAAAAAGGCTGAAAAATAGCGGACTGGTATTGGGATGTTCAATTGTATTACTGATACTAAACACGTACTCACTTTTTGAGTACTATAGCTGCATACTCAGAGTTGACTGCTGTTTGTGGATAAAAGAATAAATTTTGTAAGTTCAAGGAGGAGCCCGACTGCCAGTCTAATACAATAACGTTCATATCTCTCTGTATTCCAAACGTTCGAATATATCATAATTGTGAATTTGAAATCTGAGGTATTGTTATATTATTATTGAATTTCAACTGGATAATTAATACTTACCCATAAAAGCAATTGATCAACTAAAGTCTTTAAATAGAATTCATGACTGTTGCTTCCCAGTCCATGTACAATAACCGTAGTTCTACGTTTTGGATTAAAATCAATATTTTTACCAATAACTGATCCAGATTCCATTAATTGATATTTATAATTTCTCGATGAAAAATAAAAATTAAAGTTAAATTGTTCAAAATATAGTTTGGTTGGCCAGCAATCAAGAACACGACCCTGATTATTGATGCCGCTGACATCATTTAGGAATAGTAGAAATAGGCAAATGACTATTGCCATTTTTAATTTTTGAAACATTCTTTTATTTCACGTTAAACTACTTATCAAATCACGCGCGCACTAATGATTCGAAGATAAGACTGAGATAATTTTATTCGGTTTTTGGAGCTTTTAAACCAAATATGTGATTCTTACTGAACTAATTATATTACTTGAATTCATTGAAAGTCTGGATATTTTATTTGAACTCAATATGCATACGATATCTGGAATAGGTACTTAATATTTTCTTGCGTAACTTTTTGTATGGCACTAATTCAATAAAATCTTTATAATTAGCATGATTAAACAATATTACTTTGCACATCGTTGAATAATTATAATTACCAACGATCTGATTCTTAAACATTTAAACATTTTATGTGATTTCCAAAAATAACTCCAAAAACAATCGACGTGTACAGATAGTGAACGCAGCAGTAAACAAATTTACTCATGCGAATCAATGAAGAATAAAAAGAAAACTTTCATTTCTACCCGAAACTTGCGTTATGCTTGGTTTTGTTTTTCTAACATCCTATCTGTCCTCTCATTTCCGCTGAGCACCATAAAAAACGAAAGTCCTGGAAGATGAAATTCACTTAGAGCGTATCAAAAACACGTTTCTCTCTCACTCACGTATATAGGGTGAAAATCGAAGGTCGAACATTTTCAAGAGAAACATAAACATCTCGATACCTTCGACACACCGCCGCCGAGTAGAGAAGCGTTTTCAGCGCGTGCACACAACGTTGAGTGGACTGAGAGAGAAAGAAAAACAGGTATAGCGCGCCGGAGATGAGTGTAGCTTACAGCTTGAGAAGATTATGTGTACCATTGAAAATTCTAAGGAAAGTTTTGTTTTTCATTTGAATATCCCTAAAATTCATTTGTCGAACGATACGCGAAGTGAAAGTGAATTAATCGAAAATTACATAAACTTTTACAATAATTCAATGATGGCGGCATTGTAAAAAAAATTTAAAGACTAATAAAAAGTCGGCGCCTGACGTTTCAAGCCATATCCACATTTCATTTTCTCAATAAACCAAAAAAGGCGCGTGTATATCCATAACCGAACGTAAAACTGTGTAGCCTGTGTGAGCAGGCAGACATCAAGTAAAGGAACACTTTGGGTACAGTATGTAAAACTGTTAGGTGGAAGGTTGGGGGGATGCGTATAACAGTTTGAGCAGCATATCGCCGACTCGCGCCCGCGAGCGCTTACATACACCCACTTGGTGAATGAGCTTGAGCATACACACACACATATGCGCACACGAATGCGCGTTATAAGGTTAACGGTCTACACGACGTGCTCGCTGCTGCTACACGGGCTTGCTGTAGAGATGGTTATACGAGCTTCCTCTTACTCCTCTGCAACGGAGGCCGATTCTGTTTGTTTTTCATTTCCCTCGCTCTGAATCGCTAATTTCCCGGGTGTGCATCGTGAAATCTAGTAAATAAATAGCCTGAGCGTTGCTACCTACGCAAGGGAGAGTGAGAGAGAGAGCAAATTTTCGAAATGGGAAATGAGAGCTTGCAAACTGTATACACGGCCTTCTTATGACGGTTTTTCAAATAAGGCGAGCGCTCTTTCAGCTTTTGATTTATCTCTGCCTACGAGATTCTCTTGTGTAGACTCGCATTCGTGACAAATTACTATCTCGCGGACTTCATTCTGTAGAGATCTTTGATGATGTCGATCCAGATGATACCAACGAGATTTCATTGCACAAAATATTAGCCGATAAAGGAATCACGAATTTACGAAGAGACTGCATTTTGAACGTTAATTAGTTAACAAGTTAATTTTTTCTACATCGCCAATTTGAGAAAACGTCCAAAAATACTGAATCGACATTGCTATAAGAAAAATTATTCTTTCTGGTGCCTTCTTAAAGAAAATTCTCAAATTAAGAAAGAAAACTTCCTCATTTGAGAACAAAGTTTCTCATTTTAGTAAAAATGTTCTCAATTTCTATTTGAGTATGCAACGAGCTTGGGAATTCTTTTAGTGATCTAAAATTCTGAAAAAGTTCTTTGTGCTGCATTTAATAAATAATAATTTGCATAAAGAACGTGTTTCCTTATTTGAAAAGGAAGAAGAAAAATTCCGATTTAAAAAATAAACTGCTCGACATTGAAAATAAAATTTATTTGAACTATCTATAGTTGCAAAAGCAATGCTACAATATTGGAACTGACACGCGTGTAAAATTCAATATCGTGTCGCTTGAAGGTAGAGCAATTAAACGAAATCGTTACCTTGCCCTTCGCCATCAATCGGTCATCGCGGGCGGCGGCGGCGACGGGGGCACAGCGCATGACAAATTCACTTTCGTGTCGCACACGCACGACAAGCAGAGAGCAGGATTAATCGTCATCCGACGGCCCCAGAGCGACAGACTAATTTTAACTGGACGTCGAAAAATCCCACAGCACGCGTGTGTGCGTGCGCGATCGCCGCAAAGCCGCGGCTAACAAAGTGAGAATTACGAGATAGAGAGAAAGTCGTTGAGCAAATAAAGCGGAGCTGGGCTAATTCAATTAGAGAGTCCGAATTTTCCACAGCCTACGCACGCAAACCTGCAGAAAAGCACCGCGATATGTTACTTAAAAGCAATATAGAAAACAATGAGCGATGAGTCAATATCTCAAAAATAATTAACACTCCAATATGTGCCATTCGTTAGAAGCTCGGCAAGGAACACGAGTGTAATGGTGGAAACACGTTGGAATGAAAGGAAACGGAGGATAGGCGACATCGGTCTTTTCTCCTCTCGAGTCGTCTTCGAGCTTCATCAAGTTATTGCTCTTGGCTATTTTATGGCCTTTTGTCTCTCTCGGTCGGTTGAGAAATACGTGACGTCCGTTGCGATGCTTCCAGTTTTTGTGCAGCGAATGAGTACATTAATATGACGAGTCAGGCTTGGAAAATGATCGTGTTCTTTACGCGAACGCTTCCAATTGATAAATGAGCGTGCTTCCTTTGAAATATAGCGAGATATAACATTGGCTACAATCTAGCTTTCGGTTATTAATGAGTTCTGGTAATTCCCAACGACTATTGAAAGTCATATTTCTCCTGACGATATCTGACGCGGAAGCGTTAAATACCTGCGTCAAGTAAAGGCTCGAACAACCATGCATAACGGTAGCGTGCAATGGATCGAAAACTGATAAAGAGATCAGTCTTGAGAATAACACGCTGAGGGTAAGGGAAAAGATGCTGCGAGTTTCGTTGCAGAAGAAAAAGAACTGCTTCGATGGGGTAAAAATAGCACGGCAGAGAACGATGTACACACACGCCCGCATGCACACATATACTCGCACATGCGAAAACATCAGATAAAGAAGTTGCTGCTGCAGGGTGAAAGGATGGATGGATTACCGGGATGGATGCTATCGATAACCCAGTGAAAACTCGTGATTCTTCAAAACTACGCTATTTTCCGATAAAAGATGTCGTCGAATCGGTGAGATTCTATTCTCGCTGCCGCTGATGTTGTAACTACAAAAATATTCGAGCTCTAGTCTTGCTCTTCTATTTGTCAACGTTGCATGAAAAAAAATACGAAAGTAGAATTACAAGGTTGACGACCTTGTATCATCCTGTTGTCAAATAAAACTCGAAATCAAGCAACCCGTACGTCAGTCGATGACCCAAAGAACCTTTCCTTGTCTTATAGTAAAGCGATCGCTCGAGCAACAGAAAAAACAAGGGGCGTGTATGTGTAAAGCCCTCGAATTTCGCAGATGAAACTGCGGTAGAAGAGCCCACGCTTGTATATATATATATATATATATATATATATATATCTGCACGCAACTCTGCCGCCCTCGCGAGGAAAAACAAGACAACGCGTGTGTATACGCCAGAAGAACGGAGGGACGGCTGCGACGGCAATGCAGCAGCCGTCGCGTTTATCAATAAAACCCGCCGCTGCACGCTGTGAAACATATTGCGCGCTCGTTTCGCCGAATTATTACTAGAAGCGGCGCTCATGATACTCTTAGATTTTATATCGGAACAATCGATATCCGTCGAATTCACCCTTCGCGCTCCGAGTGGCTCAATTTTTCCGTCTCGGGAAATTAGATTTTCGTTAGGGGGTTATAACGCAATTCGGTACGGTTTAATGGTTTTTACTCCGTGAGTCCGGCCTGGAATTGATTAATTAACTTCGTCGCGAGGGATTACAGATACGCGCGCGCACTTGACTCGTTACTCTTTAAATAGAGCGATTTACATGCGGAATATGCTCGTTTTACTTTTTAATCAGCGACAACAACGACGTTTATACTTGCGGGGATTTTCAAGCCCGCGAGAGTTTAATTAAAAAATATATTGTCCGCTGAAAAGAACGATGGCGGCTTACTGTGAGACCTCGCTCAACTTATTTTTCCACTTTGATCGAGTATCGTCGTCGGTACATTCATGTTTTTAACCGTACAATGACACTCATATTTTTCATTGGTTTCGTAAAGCGTATCGCTCGTTCTTTTGTGAAAATCTTCGATAACAAATCAAGTACTTCGCTTCATATAAAACGGAACGCTCTACTCGTTGGTCTTTATCGACGGATAATATTAATGTAAACGCATTCAGATACCCAGACAATGAAACTTAAATCAGCTCGTCACCTTAAAATCAATAAATTCTCGTCAAAGCCTTAGTCTCTCTCTCTCTCTCTCTCTTATCACCATCCGTGCGCGTGTGGCTTAATATGCATCTCTACCTAGGCGTTATATTCATGAACAAGAGAGACGTATAATCGCGAGCGTGTTCTCGAGTGTCAATACGCTCTTGCGCACATAATTTCTCGCATAAGCACACAAGGAGAAAGGGGAGTGGAGGGCGA